ATAAAGAATGCTATTAAAATTAAGTGAGCGAAATAGTCGCTCAAATCAAGTAAAATATTCGAGGAATAAAAATTTTTTTCCCGTTGATGAATTTTCACGTGTAAATCGATTTGACATGAAATACATATTTATTCGCAAACTTTCTGGAAAAAAAAAAATAAAATAAACGGAAAATGTCTACACTCCTGAGATCAATAATTAAATCATATGCCACTTGCCATTTAGCATCATTCCCTTGCATAATACTCATGCCAATGGCAGGCATCCCTTGATCGATGCACCAGTGACGCAATAAAACGAGCATATTTACGTAACAATGTACGTAACAATGTAGCAAAATCAATGTGTGGCAGCTCATTTTTGAAACTATACGTCGTAAGATAAATTCGGACGAAACGATAATCACGACCATTCATAATTTTTGCTCGTTAATAAACCGCGTTCATCAGTGTTATTATATTACCCTCTGTTCCCTCCAACGTTTATCCCGCTGCGAAGAGGAGAGAAAACGCGATCCAGAGAAAAAGAGCACGCGGAAGATATAAATTTCTTTGCCTCTCCCCAGGACTCTCGCGAGTCCATGAGCAGACGCCTCCGTCCGGTTCGTGTCGCACGCGTTCTCCAAGAAGTCCTACGTTAATACGACCATTTACTCGCTCGCGGGGAAACGCAACAGTCGCGTATATACGCGACAATTATGAAAAACCGGTGCATCGCATTCCGTAATTGGATGCGAGCGCGGGCAATGCGCTAACAACAACCTCATTCATCGCGCGGTTACTCTCGTTATAGCTTCTTCTATTTACGGCGCGCGATTACACGCACTCGAAAACTTGCTCCCTTCCCTTCTCCTTCCCGGGACGTGTATGCTTTACCAGACCGTAGACTACAAAGGGATGTTTCAAAATTTCCGTACATTTTAATGAATAAATTTCTCGAGCATGTAACGCGAAAATGCAATTTTTTTGGTAGAATTTTTCTAGGAGGAAAGAAAGGGTCTTTTTTCGCGAATTATAAATTGTGAAATGTAAATGCATGACAAAATCTCGTACAATTTCGAAACGTTTTTACGCTTGTTCAGAATTTTAATGTAATTTTTATGATGTTCAGTATTAAATTGAATATTAAATTGAGACAAAGATATAATAGCATAGCAAAAAATTGCTCCGAAGGAAAATTTTTTTCTTTTACTCTTATTCTCATAATAAATGAATTTTCGCAATTTTTAGATGTTCTAAAACTCATGAGATAAATTAAATATATTGTTTATCATTATTATATGAATTATTATATTATATTAATAAATTATATTATTCAATTATTATATTAATCAATATTTTAATATCATCTTCATTTTTAATTTTTTATGGGATTAAATAACAGATTCGTCGAAGATAAACTTTTATTATATTCATATTCTTTTGATCACAATTATTCGTTCAATTAAAAATTTAAAAAAAATTCAAAAAGGATTATAGTATATCTGTTTTTGTTTTATTTCGCGCATTTTATAAAACACCTAAAACATTTCACGCATTTCACGTTTCCAATATTTTGCCGATAACCTGTGCACGTATCCGCACCGTTGAAATTCATGCACTGCGGATGGATTTTACGCTGTAACGATCATCGATTTTGTGAAACCGATGGAGCTTTCAAGCGTTTATCTCTAAATAAAAATTATTGAAGTATATTGACATATTTCGATATTTTTGAAAAATATTCTGGATATCGATATCATGTTTTATTCGAAAAGAGATATTGAATGGTACCAATATTTGATATTTATTTTAAATTATTATTATAAATAAATATTAAAAATAAAATAAACTTTACAAAAATAAAATATTCATCGCGAGAAACAAGAATAGTTTCTTTAAAAATAATATATATCTGTAATCAATTGAAAAATCACGAGTTATCTTTGACTTTAACACTTAAACACGATATAACATTAAAACTAGGTTGCACAATTCAATTTAAGTAATCATGGCTTAACGATTTGCATAATTCTACTATAGTACAGAATACAAAAGAAAAACAATAAAACCAAGTGACATGGATCGATTTCCTCGGCCTCGGTAAGCGCTACCTATAGTGCTTACTAGCGTTAACTCCAACGTAATGTTTTTTCTTTTTTAATCAAGATTCTAATATAAAACTAAAGACAAAAAGAGAGAGAGAGAGAGGGAGGGATAAATGCAACAATCTAATGAACAGTTTCAGCAATATCGATTAACTAATTGAATTGTTAAATTTTTAACTTTTTCTAGTTTTAGTTGTAAAAAAACAAACAATCAGTGTTAACGCAATTAATATTGAAGTGTTAGTCACGAATAAAAGACATTAGTTTAGTCGTCGAAGGCATTGTCTCTCTGTCTCTCTGTCTTTCTCTGTCTCTCTGTCTTTCTCTCTCTCTCTCTCTCTCTCTCTCTCTCTCTCTCTCTCTCTCTCTCTCTCTCACTTCTCTCTCTTTCTAAATAGTGCAATGTTAAATCGCGACGAACAAATGACGCAATTAAGACGACTTCTCGCGTGACTTCTTGCGAAACGTATCCGTTTCTCCTCTGCAACGTTACGGATTTCTGCAATTTAATCTCTTCGATCAGCTACCTTTTCACGATAATAATTCTGGCGAATTCACCTTAATCGGTGTCTACTTTTATAGGCTATCAGAAAAGCTCGCATAATGCATCTTTTAGAGTATACTGCAGTGGATTTTCCTTGTAAGTTTAGTCTCTCTAATTTGTTTTTAAATATAGACATTGCTAAATTATCGCGTGACGAATTTATACTCATTCATTAATATTGTACCGATGATTCAACTTATTTTTATTAATTTATAATTAAATATCAGTTGACTGGTTTTGGCTAATTTTACGAATCATTTATAAAATATCTAAATTTTCTTATCATATTAAAATTTTTTTTTGTTTACCTATTAAAATTCTCAAATGGAAAATGGAATATATTCATATTTATTATATATTTATTTATTTTTTTGCAATAATTTATAATTAGACTATTTTTTATTTTAAAGATTAGGATGCTTGCTAATTCCATCTCTGTTTTCATTCATCTCCTTTCTCTTATATAGATAATGGTGATTATATAATTTTTATCATCACATATTATATCGTTTTATTGATAATTTATAATGATTCACGAAGCTATTAGCTGATAACTGCTTATCTTATTTATACAAAATTTCTCTCAAGTATTTTAGCTTCTAAAGTTTGTACAGAAAATAAAAATTGTTACTTGACATACATATATCAACTGACGATCTATTTAATGTGATAATGCACTTTCATTTATATTAAGGTCGAGTGAGATAATTAAAATCGTTAAATAAATGGAGCGACCTAATGATCGTCCAACGGTAAGTTTAATAATTATTATAAAATTGTAGAGAAAAATGGGAAGAATTTCATTCTAAATTTATAAAACTTCTTCTTATAAAACTTACAACAATTAGAGAGTTTGTATTAATTACAACAATAAAAATTTGATATTGATAATATTAGTACGTATCATAAATACAGATATTTTATGATATAACTAAAAGAAATTAAATATTACATAATATATAACAAATGATGTATATAATATGTTAAAATTGAATTTTATCTAACGTGTAAAAATAGATATGAAAGTTATTGAAGAAATAACGCTACAGAAAAATCACGGAGAAAGTGAACAAATCTTTAACATTTTCGATTACGTCAAGCTGTCGAAACGCCGGAAATCACGGCAAATCCATCGGAAATTGATGCGAGAAATGTCTAATATGCGATGTAAAGAGCAACGTCGAAATGTATCTTTTTTAGACAGATAAAGAAAATTAAAATATTTTCTATAAATCATAATGTTATTACGCTATATTTTATCGTAATATTATATATTATTTTCTACATACATATTATATAATTAAATATTTAAAAAAGAATTTGAGACATAATGTATAATCAATATTTTACGTGCGATAAAGTGACGATAGAAATTTTATTTTAAACTTACAAGTATCTTTTTTTAATATAATTTGTTTCGAAAATTTGATTTAAGTCATTTTTCTAAGCATCAAGAAGATAATCCGCTTGAATAAGATTCAACGCGATGAATGGGGAAACTTTAATCAAGACGATACTATAAAGCTCGAGAGGGACATTCATGGATCTCGATGATAAAACTAAACTTTTTTTTCCTTTATAGATTTCCGTTCGCTAATGTAATGGGACAGAGCATCAAGGGAGCTAAACCTTACTATATAATAATATTCGGAGTCAAGATAATGTCAACTTCTTTTTTGCTATCGAAAATTGTCTGTCTACCTCTCTATCTAACCATTAATCTTAATTCTTTTTTGTCAAGTAATTCTTTTTTGTCTGTCTCTTTCTCTCAATTTCTCGTATGTATTTATAAGACATTTTCGCCAAACCTAGCACGAGCATGTCCGAGAAACTCCTGTTAGCGAATTAACCCGGAAACACGCGACGCGGACAAATGAGTCACTCTAAGAATTAATAGTTTCTTAGTAAAGAGCGGTCGATTCTTTCCGCAGAAACTTTAAAAAATCGCAAATATGTCTTTTTATATAAAATTCGCATTTTTAATAAATGACGTAACTTCATACATATACACATATAGCAGCATTTTTTTACTTAAACTATCGGACTTTATTTAATTTTAAAAAACATTAATATAAAAATCTTATGCGCACTTTATTTAATTTTAAAAAACATTAATATAAAAATTTCCAACGAACGCGCGCGAGAAAATTTTAACTTCAAAGCAGGAGCAATCGTACCGCGCAACTGTTTACGTTAAAAGGGATCACGCTGTTATTCCGAGCGGGTAATCAAGATAAAGAATAAATATAGAGAATCCTATCGCGCGATTTCGCACGCAACGGCGCGCGACGATCTCATACGCATACATACACACACGCATTGCACGCACGACGCTGACCGATTTGAATTTCCGCATACATGCATACTAACCTCTGCTAATGTCCTGGGCCGCGGGAGCGCGACCCGACTGCGGAAGGAACGAAATTTCTCCACGAGCGTGTTATCGCGCTCCGTCCTCACGATCGGTCCCGGTTGTCCCCGAAGCAGGGCTCTCTCAAGTTTCACTTTGTTTCGCGCGGTATTCCTCGAAGTGGAGAAAAAAAACGATCGCCCAGAGCGACAGGCGGGAAACGTCGTTCCCTTGACGCACGCTTCGCGAGCGGCGAGAGTACTACGTCGAATCGCGGCGACGCTCCACCGCCAACACGTCCGTCGCGTTGCACGGTCGAGTGACGTTTGCGAGTTGCGATGCGCGCGACCTGGTTGCCATGGTACCGGCGGATCGGAGCGTGCGCGCTATTGGCGGAGGAGGCATTGGAACTAGGGCGGTGGGCGGGCAACTTCGCACCGTACCGCGTACGCGGGAAAACAAACTTTGACAATGTAACAGGCGAAATAAAGCGACACGAAATTATATCACTGAAGTTTTTTAAAAAAACAGCAGATCGACGATTACTGAAACCTTTCCAAAATGTCATCATGTCCAATTATAGTTTTTACTGTGTTCCTGTTATACATTACATTATCTCAGATTTGAGATAAAATAAATAGAATTTATATGACGGAGAGAGCTAATGAAAAGTTTATAAATGCATTAAAAAACATTTAGATTGAAATGTATTCTCTTAATTAACAATTATAGTTATAATTCAATTCTTTTATTAAATACATAAAAATGTATATTAACTCGTGATACTTAATTTTTAGGTGTTTTGTTAAACAGAATTTCAATTTTTGAATATGATGCTGTCTTCACATAAAGCTTGTATTAATCATTTCAATGTGTTTAATACAATTGACAGAGAGAATATCATGTTTTTGTTTCTAAACAATTATTAATAAAATTATTAAAACAGTTCAAATATCAAGAAAAACGTAACGAATTCATACAAATAGTAATCTAAAAAAATTATTTTTATTGATACTTTTTTCTAGTAAATATCTAATATACTTTGATATACATCTTTACATACATCTGTAACAAGCACATTGCTCAACAAGCAGCCCAACGAACCATATAAAACAAAATCTTACTATTATTGGTGTGATTATTGTAGCAGTGTTAATTGACGTTTTTCTCGTTTTTTTTCTTGGGAAATGAAGATTTTAGAGTAGAGACTATGATAAAATATAAACAAGAACCATGATTAAATGCCAAGTCTAATCTGATATAAATTCTGTGCGTTTGATATGATCACTAGTCCCTTGAATTTTTATACACCAAAATCATTCGTTCCGCCACTTTTTATGGATCTGTTGTAAATGTTCGTAAGCTCGTTGGGAGATATTGAGTTCTGGATTTATCGAACACAAACCAGGCTGCCCCAAGAGACTTAAACCAGACAGACCTATTGAAAAAAATTGTTTTTTATATATTTACATTATTTAAATAATATAGAAGCTCCTTGCGAGATTATTTCTTATACAAGCAAGGGATTTTTTGCGATATTTAATTTTTTGCGATTTTTGCGAAATTATTTACACTCACCTAGATATGTGTGTAAAGGATCTGGCCGAGTATTATCAAACTTTGCCAATCCTCCGATGAACCTATCTTGAGTATTGAGAATGAAAATTTTGTTTTGTTCGGCATCCGAAAAGTTGAGGAACTCTAAAAGCTCGAGCGTAGCGCCAACCCAGAAACTGTAACATGTGTCGGACGGTTTCCCAGGCCTCCCATTAAATCCACCGTCCTGTCTCATAAGGCACCAACGCTTCAACCGAGCTAAACGGTCCCATGTCAATACGTCCAATATATTAATATGTTCTCTCATCAAAAACAAACTTGCCACAGCACAAAAAGTCGATCCTCCGTGAGATTCGAGACCCGGTCCTTGCCCGATACCGCCATCATACGACTGCAATTATCGTAACCATCTGTTATGTAAAGATAAAAATAAAATGCTTACAGAGCTTGTAAATAATAATACTAAATAATTATTGATGCAAATGTACTTACAACACTCCGTAATATATAGTCGATAGCTCTTGGAATATCAACACCTGACCAGTCATCTAGAATCGCGGAAACGCAAGAGGCACAATAGAGGAATCTCATATCGCTTTCGCATCCTGTTACCATGGCCATGAAAGATCCGTCAGGATTCTGACAGGCACGGACTCCACCAATGATGGATTTTTTATCCACTCGACTTAGATCATCGCCGAGGATCAAAAGGGTGACCAGGCTCGTGTAGGTCATCGCTAAATGACCACATTGATATTCTGGGACATCCTTTGGTATCGTTGTAGATGCTTGGAAGCCGGAACGAGGACCGGCTCCCTCGACCTGAAGACCGTAGATCCAATCGATTGCTTCGGTCTTGGCTTGTTCCCCAATCTCGTCCAACGAATTCAACAGGTCTAGACCGGATAGTGCGAAGTACGCTATCATTGGTCTGGTAGAATCGAATTCCGCCAGACTGCTAGGCATGATTTGTAGTAACCTTTGGAAATATTTGACATGTTTTTCCCGTGCCAGCTGCGGCGGCATGATTGTCGTGCGATGAATGAAAATGTCACTTTAAATCGACACGACATACGTTTTGACACGCCTTAAAAAGAACTGTAATATGCTGTCGTTGCTAAATGATGGTAATGTTCATATATACAATGTTTATCTCAATCAGCTCTTTTCATTCATTCCATATCGACTTGTCAAAGTTTTTAGAAATTCACTGCCGATTCATCGTAAATTCTTATCGTATCTGAGAACGACATCTCATATGCGTTTCCTTTGATTGAATCGAATTAATAATTTAAAATTGTGCGTTGCAATTTGTCGCCTACTTGGTTAAGTTCAATCATACTCAACGTTTCTTCTACTGACCAGCTGACTCAGCGACATGTCATACCAACCTTTAGCCACAAAATTATGAATCAATAGTACCAACTTATTGTTATATAAAAAAATGAGAGCCTGAATTTGAAGTGATATTCTAATCCTAAAAGGAGAAGAGATTCCTTTGATTATAATGTGTCCAGAATAAAATATCACAATTAATAATATGAAGTTTTTTTGCAAATTGGGAGATTAAATTTTCGCAGAATAGATTGAAATAAAATAAATGTAATATTCCATGACATTTTTCTTTATAAATATAGGCTCCAGAAGACTAAAATTAATGAGTTTATACTGTACATATATATATGAGAAATAAAAAAGCGAAAATTCCAAACAAATAAAAATTAACAGATATCTCCACTTATAGATGTATATATTTTATATATACACATATCACACATATAGATGTATGTGTGTACATATATATATTTATAGATACAACACACTCTCTACCATAAAAAAATATAAAGAGATAATACCGACATAATTATTAATAAACTCTGTTACATAATTTCTTCACATCACAAAAACATCAGGTAGATAAACTACAGATTTATAATGATAACGATTATCGAGAAAAATCTCTACTATATCTCTATATCTTACTATTATATATATTGTTATATACTTTAATATATCTCTATATCTTACTTATTAATAAAAGTGCTGCATTTTTGGAAATGCGGGACTCGATGACACGAGTAATACTACAGTTATCTTTAATATAATAAATAAAACTAACAAATATTAGATTTTGTATCTTACAACATAATACGCGCGCATGTCATATAAGTATAAGGACCCGGGGGGATCCATGAGTCGTTTAAATAAATATCTAATGGAATACATGGACATAACATCGACAAGGAATGCTAATTATCGCTCAAACGATCGATAATTCGCTAATACATACTTTGAGGCAATAAATGTGCAATTACAGGTACATCAGGTAACAATTATTTGCCATTAGTCTCCTAAAGAGATCAAATCGTTATGGCAACAAATCAGGAGGTATGCTGCTCGGTAACGTGACGCCGAGTTTAGTTATTATGTAGGATGCAACCTTGCATCCCAATTCTAAACAACTCTTCGGATCCCAGTGAGCCAGGACACCGGCCAGAAAGCCAGCCACTAAAGCATCCCCGGCACCCGTTGTATCCACGATAGGCGCTTTCGGTACGATAGGTGGTATCTAAATAACAAAGAAGTGTTATCGAGAAGTTAAGAAGTGTTTAACATTTTTTTAAATATTTTCTCGATTGAAACGAACCTGAACAGACTGTCCTTTGCCCCACACAATAATCGCCGGTGCGCATCCACCGCGCGTCATGATGAATATACCATCGTCGGCTAGCCAGTCCTTGCTATTGCCGCTAGAAACATCCACCGTAATTCTCTTTAAACTGTTCAGCAAGAAAGGTATATCGGTGACATCGTCGTATTTTACATTTAATGCTTGCGCAAGTGCTATCATTTCTCTTGCGTTTCCAAACACGATTTTAGCGTGACCAACCATTTCGCAAATGGCTGCTTGATGATCCTTGAAAAAAAGTAGATTACAAAATCGAGAAAAGAATCACTTATTTGGATAAGTAAAATAAAAAACGATGCATATAACTATTTAATATATGTAAATTGATTTTATACAATGAAGTATTAATTACATAAATATTTATTAATATTATTAATATAGTATCATATTATTTTTGTACCTGGAATATATATAAACCACTAAGATTGAATGCTATGATAATATTTTTCTCTTGCGCTCGCTTGACCAACTCCTTAGCCACATCCAAACTGTGAGTTATGAAATATCCTTCAATGTAAATTATTTTCATGTTATCTAATTGTGGATTGGCCTTTTTCAAATCGTCCAATGTATATGTATTGGCTGCACCAAGATTCGCAACAAGACTGCGAGATGAATCATGCGCTAATGAAACGCATAATCCAGTGGGTAAAGTTGAATGTATGGCATATCTAACAAAATATACAAATTAATTTTATCGCATCCTTTCAAATCTATAATAATGATATAATTACGAACTTTACATCCACTCCTGCAATTCGGATTAATTTTTCTAAAATTGAACCCTTTTGATCATTTCCGACACCACCATAAAAAGTACCAATTTGAATTTCATGAGTCTCATCACACAGCCACTGCAAAATCCTCAATGTATTCTGCGCACTTCCTCCTGGAGTTGTACATCGTTCTGTTCTATAAAATATAAACATTTTTTATATTTTATAAGACTCTTATAAAAAATATATATGCATGCACAAATCTTTCTAGATGAATGTATACATTACGATTGTAATTTGTTATTGGATGTTCCATTTAAAATAACTTGTTTAAAAAATATATTAAAATACTGAGTGACAATTTCAATAAAAATTGTGAAACATTAAGAATTTATAATTTAAGCACAAAATGTAGCCCAATATAATTATATTAACTCAGGTGGTAGATCTGCAATCAACTCCTGCATCTTCTTTTCGCATAGCTCCGTTTCACCGTCGATCTTGAGATTGTATTTTTTAAGCAAGTCATCATTCTTCACTATCACTACAATATCCAGGAGAGGATTGCCAAAAGCTATAATTGCTGGAAAATCCAATCGAGCAATGGTCTTCCGCAGTGGGATCTTTTCTACCATTTTCTGTATCGAAGAATGAGCTTCGAATATTAGCTTTCCATGTAGACATACCAAGATATAAAAGAATTAATTATATAACTTTACAATACACACTTACATACATATATCAATTATAGATTACTTACAAGATAAACGAAACTTTTCGAATCATCGTAATCTATCGTTTTCCTTTCTCTTTCTTTCTTCTTACGATTTATAAAATATTCATCAAAATATCAATGTTTTGAAAATATCAAATCGATTTTATTCGATATTTCTTAAATGACATAAGAAAAAATAACGAATATTTAATAATATTGATTTCAATAACATAACGATAAAAACACATTTCTAATAGCAGAAAGAAGAATGAGAGACGTCATGGTCATGGTGTACTTTTAAGTGATCCCTAAAAACAATACGCCCTCTGACATGAAAACATGGATATGAACTAAGAAGTCAAATTATGAATGTTTGCAGTAGATAACGCATAATGGGCACAATTTCGGATTATATATAACGTAACCATAAAAAAAAATAGAAAAAATATTAAAATACAAAAAGTACTCTAGTTTATTTCTAAATATTAAATCTGATACAGAGAGAAGCACGGAACAGAACCAGAAATTGTGCACATTATATGTTACCCTCTGAGAACTTTTGTGGACATTGGCTTTGTAGTTCATGTTCACGTTTTCAATGTCCATAGAGGGAGTATCGCTTTGAGGGATCATCTAAAAGCAGGCATGACATCTCTCAGTCTTCTCTCTGGTACACGAGACCGGCGTGATATATATTCACAAAGGTTAAGAAAGATATTGAAATTATTCTCGTTAAAATGGTTCGCAAAAAAATTGATAACCGCATACGAGTTTTGATAGAAAACGGTGTCACTTTGGGACATCGGACGATGTTCATCGTCGTCGGCGAAAAAGCGAGGGATCAAGTAAGTTCAATTTGTGCATGTGTATTTTGAAAATGTCCGCTTGATCACGTTATATTTGTATTTCAATACAAGCATGTTAATTAAAAAAATTTTTTTAATTTACAATGCAATCTTGTATATGAGATTATTTTAATATTCTTTCGGTATTTTTATATATTTTTAATCATTATAAAAATTATGCAATCCTGACATATATTAATTGTAAAATATATTAATATATATTAATTAAAATATATTAATATGAAAATATATTAATTGTAAAATTGCATAATGCATAAGCATGTATCATTTCTAAAGAATGCAACAAGTAGAAAACTTATAAAATTTGATTATATATACTTTTGATTATTAAAACAAATATTATTCTTCCAAAGTTATATTGTGCACTATACCTGTACATATATAAGTTATTTATGCTATACTTATAAAAACATTTTTTCAGGTAGTATTATTGCATCATATGTTGTCTAAGACTGTTGTAAAAGCTAGGCCTTCTGTGTTATGGTGCTACAAAAAGGAGTTAGGTTTTAGTAGTCATAGAAAGAAACGAATGAAATCTTTGCAAAAGAAAATTAAATCGGGTAAATTGGATGTTAACGAGGATGATCCATTTGAGTTGTTTGTTATTTCAACTAATATTCGCTATTGTTATTATAGTGAAACGCATAAAATATTAGGTAACACATATGGCATGTGTGTATTACAGGTATGAATATATATTCTTTGTGCTGATTTTTTATATTACTGTATTATTATTATTTTAATATTATTTTATAATTTTAGGATTTTGAAGCAATTACTCCAAACTTATTAGCACGTACTATTGAGACAGTAGAGGGTGGTGGAATCATTGTATTTTTATTGCAATCTATGAATTCTCTAAAGCAATTATATACAATGAATATGGATGTTCATCAGAGGTTTCGCACGGAAGCACATAAAGTATAAATACATATTTTAAAAAATTTTTTAAAACATTGGAAACATTATACAACATTATAACTTCCATTCCTTGATGTAGGATATAATATGTCGATTTAATGAGAGATTCCTATTGTCCTTGGCCTCTTGTAAACGATGCTTGGTTGTTGATGATCAATTGAATGTATTGCCTATATCTTCACACAATTTGAGAATAGAACCTGTGGATAAATTGGATGTTTTGGAAGAACAATCAAGTTTGGATACTTTAAAAGAAAGTTTGCAAGACACTCAGCCTGTATCTGCATTAATTAATTGCTGTAAAACAGTCGACCAGGTAGATCAGTTGCAAAGCTAAATTAATATAAAGAATCGTTTAATTAAATTTTAAGTTAAATTTCTTTAATTCACTATATGTATGATTTCAATTTTCAGGCAAAAGCAGTTCTTAAATTTATCGAGTGTATCTCTGAAAAAACTTTAAGATCAACTGTATCTTTAACTGCTGCTAGAGGACGCGGAAAATCTGCTGCATTAGGACTTGCCATTGCTGGAGCTGTTACTTTTGGATATTCTAATATTTATATCTCAAGTCCCAGTCCAGAGAACTTGAACACTCTCTTCGAATTTGTCTTCAAAGGTAAATAAATAAAAAGAAAGACGCTGTAATAATAATTACATTGCAGAAGCATAAAAATGTCAACATGTATGGACTAAATAATTTGTTATAGGATTTGATGCACTCGGATATCAGGAACATCTTGATTATGGTTTAGTACAATCCACAAATCCAGAATTCAACAAAGCTACTGTACGTGTAAATGTGTTTCGAGATCATCGCCAAACAATTCAGGTGCATAATTTTGTCAAAAATTGAGCCTTTTGTATACATATGAGTACAATTCAAAAGTAGAATATATTTTTATAAATTAGATTAGTCTGTAATAAGATATATGGATTTTTGTGCTACGAATTAATAACAATTATTTTATTCTTTGTATAGTATATACATCCAACAGATACCCATAAATTAAGTCAAGCAGAACTGCTTGTGATTGACGAAGCAGCAGCAATTCCTTTACCTTATGTTAAAGCAATGCTTGGACCTTATCTAATATTCCTTGCATCAACCATAAATGGGTAAATATTTTAAATATTTTTAAAATTTTCTAATATATATATATATATATATACATAATAAATTATCTATTTATATTTATAGATATGAAGGAACAGGTCGATCCTTGTCACTCAAACTGCTACAACAATTAAGGACACAAACTACTGGATCCAACAGCCATGGAAAAAATGAAAAGGAGCAACAGGAGAAAATTTTTATTGGCAGACAGTTGCACGAACTTACCCTCGATGAATCGATACGTTATAAATCGGGTGATTCTGTAGAACAATGGCTGTATGATTTACTTTGCTTAAATGTTACAATGCATGCATCCATTCTTTCTGGATGTCCTCCACCTGACATGTGTCAATTGTATTACATAAACAGGTATTAATATAAGTTTAATATTGACGTATTTTCGCAAATATATTTGTAAATTTATAAAACTAATGTATATATTTTTTAATTTTTCACAGAGATACATTATTTTCTTATCACAAGGCTTCCGAGTTGTTTTTACAAAGGCTGGTCTCTCTGTATGTTGCATCACATTATAAAGTAAATACCGCATTTTTTTTCTAAATGATATATCTCATTTTTATAAATTATAGATAATATCAACTTGATTATGTTATACATATTTCAGAATACGCCTAACGATTTGCAAATGATGTCTGATGCACCTGCTCATCATTTATTCTGTTTATTGGGACCTGTTGATTCTAATAGAAAGACTCTACCTGAAATATTAGTCGTTCTCCAAGTAGGTATAAAATAGTAGTAATAAAGTAATCTATAATATGAAATCTATATATATTAAAAATATAAATCACATCCGTTAAAAAATTTCTAATTTATTCAGATGTTTATTTTTTGATTTAGCATTTTTCGTGCTTGCCTCCTCCCCCCAAAAAATATGTGTTTTAGAGATATTCTGAATTATTCATAATTGAAATATTTTTTCTTTATGCAAATTACATATATATTTATTATTTAATATATTTTTTATAGATTTGCTTAGAAGGTGAAGTTAGCAAAACTAGCATAAAGGAAGGTCTCACGCGAGGTCGTAGAGCAGCTGGTGATTTAATACCATGGACAATTGCTCAGCAATATCAAGATGAGGATTTTCCAATATTGACTGGTGCGCGTATCGTTCGGATTGCCACGCATCCTGATTATCATGGGGTATGTTTCTTTATAACTTGTCAATTTAAAAAAAGTTATCTTTGTTAAAAGAATATAACGATTGCAGATGGGATACGGTAGTCGCGCATTGCAATTGTTGAAACAATATTACGAGATGAAAATACTCAATATTAATGAAAACGCTGCACAAGAGCCAGTGATGGAAATAAAAAATGTTCCCGATGAAGCGGTCGACTTATTAGAAGAAAGTATAGGTAATCTACTGTTTAATCTACTATTTATCTCTATAGTATCTATAAATTATAAATTTATAAATATTTATCTTTTATTGCTTGAAATTTCTTCTATTAGACAATTACAATTTTTTAAACGCGATTTAAATATACAATGTCGAATTTGATACTATTTGTAACTTTTTTGCAGAACCTCGCAGTTCGCTACCACCGCTTTTATTGAAATTAAGCGAGAGGCCTCCAGAACATCTGGATTACATTGGAGTATCTTTCGGAATCACCGAGCAACTGTTGAAATTTTGGAAACGGGCCAATTTTGTGCCTACATATTTAAGGTATATGATACTTATATATTGTGTGTGTATGTGTGTGTGTGTGTGTGTGTACATATATACACACACACATCAATAAAATAATCAGAATAAATAGTATGTCATCTCGAATATCTGTAATTGTTTAGGCAAACGGCAAATGAAACAACAGGAGAGCATTCCTGTATAATGCTTTATAAAACTAACATGGAACAGGATAACGAGTGGTTGCAGGCTTATTGGAGCGATTTTCGCCGGCGATTCTTAAGTTTACTCTCTTATTCATTTAACGCCTATCCAGCGTCACTTGCATTGAGTATATTAATTAATAAGACAATATCTTTGGAATCTATTAGTAAGTATACTAATAACGATTTATATAACGTCTCATGTATAAGAAAACTAAGAATTTTTCTGTATATTGCAAAGTTTATTTCACAAGATATACCTAATTAATATATAACGTTTGTAAAATTTAAATTATAAGAACATTTGTTTTCAGCACCGAGCAAAAAAACGTTAGATGTTTACTTTACATCATATGATCTAAAGCGTTTGCAAATGTATAGTAATAACATGGCCGATTATCACTTAATTATGGATTTAATACCATCATTAGCACGTTTATACTTTTTAAATATGATGGGAGACACTCATTTCTCAGCAGTACAATCAGTAAGATATCTTGGATTATCTTTGATATATTGTTTCTTGATGTTATAACCATTCATGGCGATTTTTAGGCGATTCTACTTGGCTTAGGCTTGCAACATAAAACCGTTAACAAATTGGCGGAAGAGTTGAATTTACAGTCTTCACAATTACTCGGTTTATTCAATCGTATAATACGTAAATCGATTCAATATTTTAACAGTATCGCGGAAAAATATATAGAGAGTACTATGCTGATCAATGAGTCAGTTAATGAGGAAGTAAAAGTAAATCCTTTAGGTGGACAAGATTTACACGAAGAATTAGAGAGCGCAGCTAAAGTTCGTACAATTCGCATATAATTTAATCTCATGTTATATATTATTCACATAACATATATTAAAATGTCGTACGTTGCAGGAATTGAAAATAAAACAGAAAGCAGAATTGGAGAAATTGAAAAGAGAAAATTTAGAGCAATATGCTATTAAGGGATCGGAAACAGAATGGACTAATGCACTATCCGGCAAGCATAGTAAAAGCCTTATTTCTGTAAAGACCGGCGAAAAACGACCGTCAGAAGATAATAATGTACAAGAATTTGAAAAAAAACACACAAAGAAGAAGAAAAGACATTCTTCAAAGCTATAATTTTATAAGATGTAATAATTTGCATAACTTATACACATCTGAATAAAATAAATATTAAATAGAACAGGTGTGATTAATTAATGACACAGATATTTTTGCTAATATATATAAAATATTTATTATGTTAAAAAATTATTATTTTAAAATATACAAATTTAATAATTAGAAAGACAAAAAGACTATAATTTTATGCTTAATAAATTATAATTACACATCTTTTTACATATATTCAAAAATATTACTAGTATAATCAAAAGAAATCAATCTATAATCACACAATTTATTTCAGGTATGCCATTTTTCCATTATATTTTTCGACTATTTTTAAATAGTTTTAATCGAAAAAATTATTTTCTATAATATATTTTACACATTGGCAAATTAAATTTCTCTCATGTTGTATAGAACGGGAAAGTAACTTTTCTAATAATTTATAATGATATGCATGCAAAAAATTATTATTTTTAACATCGATTACTCTTTGATTCATTTCTTGCTTCTGCTTATCTTTAGCGAAAGTTTTTTGGGATTTATCATTTAATTTATCATTTTCATTTTTGCATTTTTGTAAATCAGAAATTTCTTCATGAACTGTATTTTCTATTATTTTATTATCTTGAAGCTCTTCTATTTTCATTCGTTTCACTGGCACTTCTTCTGGACCTTCATCTAAACATAAAATTAATACTTGTTAAATAATTTCATACAAAAAAATTGGTATCTTAAAGAGCTATTTGTATACTTAAAGAGGTCGAGTATATCAATAATATCAAATTGTATTAATGATTATAATAACAATTTTAGAGATGTTTTAAAAACAAAATAATAAAACAATAATATATTCGTTTATTAACAAGTATTAAAATTTATATATTTACCATTGCTTTCACTTTCATAATCTGCTACTAAAATTGGTAACGTAGACTTCAAATTGACCACAGATGAATTAGTGGATTCAACTATCGCAGATATCTGTGGTACATCATCTTCATCCGAAATATTGTCAGCAATCTTTTCACATAAATCTGTTTGTTCATCTAAGTTTACTTTTTTATCTAAGCATATCTTATTATCTGCTTCTTGCAAAACATCTAAAATTATTAATAATAGTTAAATTATTAATAATTAAAATATTAATAATAATTACAATAAAATATCTTTTTTCAGTTTTGTCTAATATGTGTATAACGAAAGAACACAACAAAATAAAAATATCGTTAATTACAGATTATATCAAGATATCTTGCATAATTGTTATTTAATAAATTATACATTTATTCAATTATATATATAATCAAAGTTGTATATAACTAATTTATTACGTTAAAAATTATAGATTTTTTTTATGATAACATATATATACAAACACATATGTTCCATAATATAACTTACTTGTTCCAGGAAAAGGATGTAAACCTCTGTATAATTCATCCTTATGAACATAGTTGCTATTTTCGCATGTGTAACGTTTGCGAGGTCTACGTTTCTTTTGGCGTACATTTACAGTCTTCTTCGTTCTAGTTTGTACATTAGAGTTCTGCTGGATTATCTCTCCTCTTTCTATTTTTTCTAACTCTTCCGCCTTGCGTAAATTTATATTAGCTTCAGTAGGATACCTCCTGTTTTGTAATATAAAAAAAATTTTAAAGAAAATTTCTCTGCTTATACGTTTATTAATACAATTATTTTTCAGATATGTATTTAAAAAGATATGATAAAACAACTTACTTTTTCCGTTCTATTATCCATTTCTCGAGATTTTCAGGTATCGATAAATCTTTCATCCTCTCGTATAAGCCAGTACGATGTTGCATAGTAATATGTTTTTCTACAAGCATGGGATGTGCCGAAAATGTGCATCCATCAATGCCGCAAACTCTGTGTGTGCTTTTATGCTGGGACAGAGTATCTTTGGATGGAAAATCTCTGTCGCATACCTCGCAATAGTAAGATTTTTCGTCATCGGAACCGATACAATTTTCATCATCCTCATTTTGCGTCTCTTCGTCAGCTGGATGATCCTAAAAATTATCACTATACACTAAGAATATTTTGAGGTATAAACTTTTTTTTAATATAACTGCAACAATACTATATCATTATTAATATCAATTATATGTTTTAAAATTTTTATTAAAATTTTTACTCTTTCTTTATTGATTCTCTTATAATTATAAGCGAATACTATCAGATTTTATACAATAATCATTTATAATTTAAAAATAAGGTAAAATTTAATAATAGATACACACATTATGTGTACTTATTATCAAGTTTTATCTTATTTTTAAATCGTAAATGACTATTGTATAAAATATTTAAAGCTATATGCCCGGGGTATTCAGAAAAATTTGATCTATAAATTCTAAGAAACGCAGATCTTTTTTCTTGCCTTTTTCTTTAGATATTACCATTCAGTCCTTTTTATGAATTAAATAAATATATAAATTGCGCGTATATTTCGCTGAAGCATTAATTATCTTTACAATGCATACAATATAATATAAATACATACTTATACCATATATGTTAATTGCACATCAAAGGCTTAATCACGGAATTTTGTACAATTGCAATGTAATGACAAAATCTCTATAATTGTAATTATAATTTTTCTCTACATCATGTAAATATTAATAATGTATATATATGTATATATGTATACATACATTAACGTGAATTTCTATTTACATATTTTATGTTATATTACCCCGTAACTTATATATAAGTTTGTATTAATAATTATATTATTTAAATGAATTATTAAAACGGCAAATCACAAAAGATTATTTTCATAATTCAGAACGATTATTTTTCAATAAGTAAGATTAATTTTCTTTAACGGTTTGTAATACTAAAATGATGGAAAACACCAGAATTAGAACTTATGGAAATACAATTTATTCTCATAATACGTATTTCAATTACAAATTTTTTTTGTCAATCTATTTTTTTTTTGCTTAAAGTCAGATATGAAATATAAACAAGAAAATATTAAATATGACACATATAGCCATAATCATTTATAAAAGTTGTACTACTAATCTAACAGAGCCACAAGCTATTTGAAATTTTTTTACATGTAAAATATCTTATATATAATCTCTATAAAATTATTTATCTATATTTTTTCTCATAGTTTGAACATTATAAATCTGTTACTATTTCTTAAGCCTATAGCTTGCAGCACTGTATACTGGCCATAAATATAAAGGAAGAACTTTGAAAAAAAACTTATCCACAGATGGCCAGTTTTTACATACTTGATAAATTACATCTAATTCACATTGTCAGAATGCAGATATTTATAATTAAGATTTATATAATGAAATATAGATATTAGATATTGTATGAATACACATACTAATGTAAAAATGAACAAATTATTACATAGATGCCTAAACTATCTCTCTTGTTAATATGTTTTAGCTAATAGATACTATTTTCTCAAAATTATTTTTGTCAGTATTATTTCAATTAACATATACTTATATATGATGTAAATAATACAAAAGATTATTATGTAAATATATTACGTTGCAAAAATAACGAGAAAAAAGAAAGATATAAAGGTTGTCTGCACATTAGGATTATTTAGCACTTATAATGATACAATTAAAAATTTGCCAGATATCAAAACATAAGACGAAAATCGTTCTGAAGTTTGAAAACAGAATACTTGTATTATATATATATATATATATATATGTTTCGAATTGTATAATTCTTTAATCTTTAAGAGGAGTAGCCTAACGGTTAAGGCTGTGCCTGTTCGCTGGAAGGCTGTTTCTCCTCCGTATGGTCCGTTTGTTCTGATTGTTCTGTTGAATTCACAGTTTTCTGAACACCCTCGGATTCAATCGTGCTATTGTTATCACGTGTTTTCTGACCACCCTGTAAAACCAAAGTAATCAACGTTTATCAACGTTGAATGGGATGCCGAATCTTCATCGCAAAATTATTACTTATACTCTCTTTAGAATTAACGCACATAATCATACACATTATGCTATTAATTCATTTTCAGATTTTATCTATCATTTTATATCACTGACTTGTTACATCTGCTATTAAAGCAAACAAAATACAATATATCAACTATATGTTCCATATATCAATTATATGTTTAAAAAATTGTATTTTGAAAAGCACTCGCGCGGTAAACACGTTTCACATGCTTTCTTTATCTTAATAAAGACGATTAATTATATTTATTGTCCTTTTATAGATTCAACATTAAATTGTAGCTATTTTGTCACTTTCATCTCGTTTTTATAAGTCGAGGGGGAAATAAGAATTTTTAAATATTTTTAATGTAAAAAAAAATATATATATATTATGTTAATATATCCCATTTTATTTATCAAAAAAGTTCTCATATTTCTAGTTTCAAAATTATATAAACCTATATATATATATATTACTTAGATAAATTTTTTGTAACTTTGAAAATTATAAGTGAAAGGGAATTTCATTATTTGCACAAGAATTAACATTATGCAAATTATTTTCATGTTTGTAATAATTTACTTATGCATTAACATCATACATACACACAACATATACACACACAACAGATATACACGCACATAACAGGTAAATGCATTAAAGGAAAGATATAAATAGTGAAAAAAACAAAATAAAAATAATATTGAAAACAGCAGCAAGAGTATATTAAATTAAAAATATAACAGTATATACAGAGTATATTAAATTTAAAATATTACATAAAACATTTTATAAATTAGCAACAATGAACTAATTTTTGATAACTTTATGCTGGATATTTATTTAAGAAAAAAATGTAGCAATAATAAAAGCATAAAATGAAGAAGGGATTAACAGACTTGCCGCAGATACAACACAGACAGAAAAGATACCTGTTCAGGATGTTTTGCAAGATACTCATTTTTTGCATCTCTTATCATCCTGGTAACTCTGTTTCGTGTATCTCTAAATTCTTGCCATTCTACTGTATTTTTGTTTTGATATTTTTTTGCTCTAAGATACAGTCTAGTTTTCTTTTGTATCTCGTGACGAATTTCGTCAGTCATCCACGGCTTTTTTATTAACTCTGATTCCTAAATAACCACATTTTTCAATAAGACTTAATTAAACATCAAAACACAAATACTACTACAGAAACTCTGTGCGTATAGTATTCTACAATTTAAATAGAAATCATTATATCATATATCTTATCTAGAAATACCAATCTTGCAGAAAGTCGTCAGACATTCCGGAGAGAGAAAGAGAAAACCTTTCTTCGACAAAACCAATATCTCTCGCTTATATAAAACGCAAATTAGGTACACAAAGCTCTCAAGATCTCCGCCAACAACTACCGGCGCAATTCAAGTGTCATATAACTCAAGGATGAAAGCAGCTATTTGAAAAACGGAATAAACGGAATACCCAAGAGTACGAGGAGATACGTACCGTGCGATTGTTGAGCTTCTTCGCGTTACGTGACGGCTTGCTTTTAAGGCTCCCATTGCCCACGTTGTACCTCATGGGCCTCATGGGCGGCATCATCTGCGGGGGCATCATTCTCCGGGGCCAGGGTCGCATGAGGGGTCCGCGCGGTCCCATCGGCGGCACGATGGGCGCCAGGTGACCACGTGCTCTGGGTCCTCCGGGGAACAACGGCGGCATGTCCCGGCCGTTCAGCCGGGACATGCCGCCACCGGCGACGGGCCGAAGCGGCTGCGGCGATGGCAACGGCGGTATCCTCTGCCTGGGATCGCCCGGGCCGAACATGGGGTTGATCGGCGGGATTCGACGCATCCGCGGCGGGGACGGCAGCCGCGGCGGGAGCGGGGGGATACGCTGCGGAATGGCGGGTCTACCGCCAAACCTGGGCGGCGGGAGCGGACGCGCGCCGGCCGGCAACTGTCTGGATCCCAGGGGAGACCCTCGATTCAGTGGACTCATCCTCTCGTTACCTCCGTCGAAGAGAAGTCTTCTATTCCTCGGAAACGCGTTGACACCGGTGTTGCCTTGACGATGCGACTCACTCGCCCGGCACGAGGTTACGGAGGTCGTTAAGAGAGAGAGAGAGAGAGAGGAGAAAGGGGAATTATCGTTCGAACGAGAAAAACATAGCACGTGTCTCGGTATCAGGGAATGCCTCTCGAGAGGAACGATTACAAACGATAACGACGATAATTATGAACGCGGTCGCGAGCTCAAGAACTGAGTTTTCCTCCTTCGTATCTTTTAACACGCAAATTCCTCGCGTACGTTCGCGAACGTATCCGCAACTGATCCGTTCGGGAAATTTCACGATGAGGAACGTGCGTGAACGCGATTGGCTGTCAAGTGGACACATTTCTGGGATTTAAAAAATTCTCTATTCGATAGCCAATCACGCATCAGCAATAATATATTAAGTCATCTAGGTTTTTTCTATTATATTTATATTTTTTCTATTATTATTAGGTTTTTTCTATTATATTTACTCAGTTGCACCAATATTATTTTAGTTTTAAGCGAAACTTAAATATATGTATTTATTTAGAAAGAAAGATAGACATATATTTAAGTCTCGCTTAAGGATGTTTTGTATGTACAATCCCAGCAAAGGTAGCTGAAAATCAATATTGACGAATATCCACTTTTGGTGTATTTTAAGTATGAGAAATTGTGTGGAATATTACAATTTGATCTTAGCTACAGTGCAGAGATGTATTTTTTAATATTTATTTACATTTTTATTGAAATATTTCGAATTTTGTTAATCGAAATGATTAACTTTTAGCAGAGAATTTCGCCTTGTGACACATGGCTAATTTCATTGAATTATATTTAATATCTTCTTAACCAGTTAGTACTTGTATAATATTATTTAACCAAATATTTCCTCTGTATCTAAACTTTTGCAAATTTTAAACAAATTCTGAATATTATTTCCATGTGTTTTTGTCATTTGAATCGACGTGGTTATGATTTCCCATAAGAACACATGTTAATTCGATGCAAATTAAAATCCTTACAACTTGTGAACGCTTTAGTGAATCGATTTAAAAATTGTACTGAAGATTCTAAACATATGTAAGGACATTCTGTACAATTTTCATTAAATTCTCAATATTCTGCACATTCTGTACAATTTTCATTAAATTCTCAATATTTTGAAAATAGGTGTAAAACATCCTTGAAGCTAAAATAACCTTGGTGCAACCAAGCCTTAGACACTTATCCATCGTGAATGTCGTTGAAAATAATTGACAATATTATCGCCGAACTGATAAAAGAAGAATCACGATATATTATTCCGTCAAGTCTTTTTGTCCGGTTTTTACGACTCGCCCAGTTATTTTTAACAATCTTGAGACTTGTGTTTTTTTTAAATGGACCAATCGGGGAGGACTCGACGCGTCGCCCACGCGTACATTCGAAGCTGCGTTCAGAAATCCAACTCGTAAGGTAGAGTGATATTTAACCTACCAATCGGGATCGAGAAATGTTTGCTCCTTTTGTCGTGATTGATCAATTCGAAGTTACTTTACCATGCGGGTAGGATTTCTGAACGCGCCTCGAGAGGATGGATTTGCGAACGCGCGAAGGCGAGCGTCACGATTTGCCGGCGCGTTTCCCACGCTCGCCATTGGCCGGTTTCGCGCAACGCTCCCCATAACGTCCCGCCAGCTGTTGGAGTTTTACGTTTGTTTTAAATCAAACGGCAACCGAACCGCTCGGAACGCTGTCGCGAGCGCCCGTCCGTTTTCCCGCGACTCTGTGATGCACAGCCAACCGTAAGCGACCGGGACCCGGAACGTCTTTCGTCGCGGCACGCAGAGAAAGCGGGACGGGCGCGCGCGCGTTGTTTATCGGCGGAGCATTTTTTTATCACCCGGTTTATGTACGCGTGTGGGTCGTCTCCGACGGCTTAGATCTTTCCGATATCCAAGATACAAGATCGATTTGCGCCGATCCCCTCGTTCGGGCAACAAGGAAGGGCTCGTCGTCGCGAACAATGGCCACGATCAGGGTGTACCAGGAGGATCAGGAGAACCGCGTCGGCGCCGATGTACGCGCCCGCGGCAAGGAGAACCTCGTTACCGCCGCGAGCACGCAAACGCAGGCCTTCCAGTCGAACAAACGCGCCGTCCTTGGTGTCCTGCACAATAATTGTCCGCGACACGGGACGAAGCTCGTACGTATATTTGGCTCCTGCTTCGTGCTTTCCTCGACTTCTCCCGCAAGGGAGGAGATACCTTCTTGATTAATCGATAAACACATTGCTATCACACGTTGCTGAAGCAAAAGTCACCGGGTGTCTTTCGCGCGCGTTTAGCGATTGAAAAAAAAAAAAAAGATGTAAGTCGTGGTCTTTTTGTCGAGTTTAGTTTGAGATATCAGAAAATATGCTTTAAATTTCCACTGTGATTTTGTAGAGATTGAATCATTTGATCATTTTTCAGTTATTATAATTCATCTGCGTTAATAGAGTCTTGAGAACTTTTTTAAGACTATTTTTGATGCGGTCAATGATGAATTGCTTCCAGCCAATGTGCTATTTGATTCTTGTTTCCTTTAATCTTTGAATTTTAGTGTACGAATAAAATTTTATACTTTGCTATTTTGCCCTTGATATGCTGTAGGAATTTATCATTGAACCATTATTCTTTCATTTTTTTTATAATTATTTGCTATTTGTATTCATTCCTAGTTCTATATATATCATCAATTCTTTCCTGAATTTATTCTTTGATATCTTTTGATTCGTACCTGTTTTGTTCTAAATAATAATCTTCTACAAATTCTTGACTGATCTGTTTCCAATATATGTAAAATATACCTATTCATAACTTTTGTTTACATCTCTTTTATTCTCCTTATTCCATCATTAATGTTGCCTCTTGATGTGTCTTCTTTATCATTTTTTTTATAGTGTATAATTTTTATAATTCTCTATTGATTTTTATCCTGTTCAGATCCTTGGTATATATGTTGATTTCTTTTTGTTTTTAAAATATAGTTAAATGTTATTCTGTGCACTGGTGCTTATCTTAAAATATTATTTCTCTTCTCTTAAAAAGTCTTGACAAATCCAAGCATTGCATTATATTCCAAATATCCTATAAAGATATCTTGTTAGATATCACACAGGCACAATCTTGCTTTGTCCTTGATTAATTCTTGAAATATATAAAGATCGTATGTTACTGAATTTCTTTTACTTTTTTAACAGGAGAATTACAAGGATGAAAAATATGTCAAAACAAAACCATTCATTCCCTCACAATCAGAGTCTTTCAAAATTTTTGATGATAAGAAAGGAGAAACAGTCTTCAAAATTTACCAAGATAAATTGGAAGAAGAGACATCTGTTGTACTTAGGGATTCAAAAGAGAAGAAAGAGACAAATGTCGTGCAAGAAATAGTGGCAAAATCCAATTATGAACAGAGAATAATTAATAAAAACAGTGTTAATTTTGCAGCATTTCGTAGTACCATCGAAGAAATCTGTCAAAATAAACAAGATGATATCTTTTCAAAAGATAGTCCCATGTCTTTGGAAAAATCATTGGACAAGACATTGGATAAATCTTTGACATATAGCAGTTCGTCCAATAATAAAGAATATAAAATGAGAAGAGAATGTATTAAAGAAATGAGAACTAATTTCTTTGATGTAGATGAATATAGGGCTGATATATATAATTATTTACGTGTATCAGAAGTACGTATCTGTTTATCTCTACATATAATATATTATAATTTGATATATAATATTAATTAATTTAATGTATAATATTATTTTGAAACATATATGTACATATATGCATGTACAAATATACAAATTCAACAGTAAAATAAAAAATTTAAATATTAACTAAATATTGTTTAAATAAATTAGTAGTATTTCTTTGAATTACACTATAAAAAAAAATTAATATTAGTGTTTTTATATGTTAAGAAAACATTTTTCTTTGTTTATTTGCTTTAGTACTTTAAGATTTTCTTCTAATTTTCTTTTCTATTTTCCAGACATTACATAGACCAAAACCTGGTTATATGAAGAAACAACCCGATATTACATACTCGATGAGATCTATATTGATAGATTGGCTCGTGGAAGTAGCCGAAGAATATCGGCTGCAAGACGAGACGCTATACTTGGCCATCTCGTATATAGATCGCTTCTTATCATATATGAGCGTTGTAAGAGGAAAATTACAACTTGTTGGGACTGCCGCAATGTTTATCGCGGCGTAAGTGTATTTTAATAATTAATCCACACATGAGAATTCAATAAGATAAACCTTGAATTAGACATATTACAATCAAACAATATTATTCGATTTAGAGTGTTTGAGGGAAATTCATTAACATTTCTTTAATAGGAAATATGAAGAAATTTATCCTCCTGAGGTAGGGGAATTTGTATATATCACAGATGATACATATACAAAAACACAGGTAATAAAAATGGAGAATTTGATACTGAGGGTTTTATCATTTGATCTAACTGTACCGACGCATCTCACATTCTTAATGGAATACTGTATCAGCAACAATCTGTCGGATAAAATTAAATTCTTGGCAATGGTAGGTTTCACTAAACATAAGTATATAATTTGTGCTTCAATTTTTTTATTATACTTTTCGTATTGATTATTTCTGTTTCATTCTCTTTTATTATCTTTGAATATATTTTGCATTTTGCAGTATTTGTGTGAATTATCAATGCTCGAAGCAGACCCATATCTACAATATTTGCCCAGTCATTTGGCTGCATCTGCAGTGGCGCTTGCGCGACATACATTGCAGGAGGAGATCTGGCCACACGAATTAGAACTATCAACAGGATATGATCTGAAAACTCTTAAGGAATGCATCACACATTTGAACAAGACCTTTTACAATGTTCCCAATATTCCACAAGTAGCAATACAAGAAAAATATAGAAGTAGCAAGTAAGTGGAAATATGATAAAAACAATATAAGAGGAGATAATAAATGATATATAATTGTATAATTATATATGTATATAATTATACAATTATATATCATTTATTACCTCCGTGTATAATTATATATGTATAATTATATATGTATAATTATACAATTATATGTTATTTATTACCTGCTATTATATTGTTTTTAATATAATATTTCTAATAATAGTATTAATATCTATTATATATATATATATATATATATATATATATATATATATATATACAGGGTGTTTTATTTTAATCCGACCACCTAAATTTCTCGGAACCTAAGCAAGATAGAGAAAAATGTTTTAGACAAAAGTTGTATGGTTTCAAGGGGGACATAAGATGGTGTCATTAGTTTGATCTTGAAGAGCCACCTGAAGGACACGCGAAGGTCAGCTCCAACTTTTTAAATGGGACACCCTATATGCTTTTGCATATTCTTGTAGCTCATCTCAAGAGCTTTCCAAAACACTATAATTAAGTTAGTTTTCATTAAGTACTTTCCAAGTTATGAGACTTGAAATCATTTTTTAATTTTACATAAACCGTAAAATATCTTGTAAAATATTCATTTTTCGATTATTTTACCTTAATACTTTTATGTACAAAATAATGAGAAGAATCAATTGGTGTAAAGAAAAGACATAGTTATTTTTAAGAAAAAATATGTAATTGTTAATTGCAAATTACATATTTTTTTTCGAAACAACTATGAGTTTTCTTTACACCAATTGATACAATTGATTCTTCTCATTATTTTGTACATAAAAGTATTAAGGTAAAATAATCGAAAAATGAATATTTTACAAGATATTTTACAGTTTATGTAAAATTAAAAAATGATTTCAAGCCTCATAACTTGGAAAGTACTTAATGAAAACTAACTTAATTATAGTGTTTTGGAAAGCTCTTGAGATGAGCTACAAGAATATGCAAAAGCATATAGGGTGTCCCATTTAAAAAGTTGGAGCTGACCTTCGCGTGTCCTTCAGGTGGCTCTTCAAGATCAAACTAATGACACCATCTTATGTCCCCCTTGAAACCATACAACTTTTGTCTAAAACATTTTTCTCTATCTTGCTTAGGTTCCGAGAAATTTAGGTTGTCGGATTAAAATGAAACACCCTGTATATGTGTACATGTATATGTATATATGTATATATGTATATATAATACATATTAATACTATTATTCTTGGTCTTATGCTTTATCATAACTTTATTGCAAAATAAGTATATTTTATATTTTATTTACGAATTTTGTAATATTTGAAATTTTTTTTAACAAAATTTTTCCTTAGGTATGGTCATGTATCTATGCTGTTACCTCGTAGTACCGAGGCAGTATCATGCGAGGATGAAGATGAAGAGGAAGGCATTTAGTAAAGGATGTCTTAAGACAAACACAGGATTAAAGTGACATTTCTGTGTATAAATTACTAATTGAATCTCTGATGAGATTTTTATGTATTAATTACGAAGAAGAGGATCAAGGCAAGACTGACCTTTAAAATGAAAAGTATACAGTTTATTTCTGTTAGCTTGTTTCGGTCTAGTCGACATGTTTTGCAAAGGCAAAAAATAAGCCTGGCTCTATCTTCGTCGCATAACATTCTGCACCATCAATCCACATGCATTCTAGATTGTGACCATATAAAAATTTTAATTATTGTTTCGGGAGCTTTGTGTCATAATATCTCCAATAGAATGCGAAGCTCTAAAGGGAAAACATCTAGAAATTTGTATTTTTATAAGTATTTTTTTAAAAGGATAGTTATAAAACACAAACGCTTGCTTCTCGCGTGCTTCACACAGCGCAAAATAATTAAATTATCCTAATAAGAAGAGTCAAAAACAAAAATATTTTATATTTATTATTATTATCGTTTTATGTTAGATGCACAATTAACGATAAAAACGGCAAATTTTATTTAAAATATTTCAGTGAAATTATTAGCACATGTGTTTCGATCAATTTTTCAGTCATTGTACAGTTATTTATTTACAGCATTTTAGGTATCCCTAATTAGTATCAAATGCGTAGTTTGCTTTGTTAGAAAAGTAAGATATCTTTTTATATATATATCCCTGTACTGCATTATATATATATATATACAAAAAGCATTAGATTATGTGCTGTGCAAGATTACACCATAGATTCCTTCGTGACACACAGTAGTAGTAACGTTCTCTCTGCACGAGAAACACTTCTATATCCATCCATTCATTCATAATATATATACATGAATGCACATAATAATTAATACATTTGTTTCTCGATGACACTTGCGATTATATGTATTTCACGTGCAATTTTGCACAGCATAAGTGCCACATTTTAATATAAAACTCAAAATACCTAGGTGTTCAAATCTAATATGCATGATAATATGTTCATATATATGAATTCAAATATAGATATAAAAAAATGTTATGGAATCATAATACATCGTTATGTACACGATTGAGTATTCAGTTCTGCATTAATTGTAAATTACGTTTATCTCAGTTTCATAGATAATTGAAGATAAGTATAAGAAAATCTGATAATTATACCTACGTGAAATATAAATGACTTCGAGGTGTGTCAAAATGTTAGGTACATTCAAGATATAAAAATCAAACCTATCCATTTATAGGAGTCCTAAATTAAAAATAACGTAAACATGTTATTAAATTTCAAAGAATATATTTCGTAAGGATAGTTTCGAAAAGCGGTCCTTTTTTATATCTAATGATTCTATGATGCTGCCAGTCTTTGATAAAAAATTGAAAATGTACGTATGTTTTTATGATATTTTTCTATATATATATATATATCTGACATAGTGCGTTTTATACCACGTTAAAAATATAAATTATTCCGAATTGTTTCGATTTTATACGAAATCGTATCAAATGTTCCCGTAAAATGTGAATTCATATAGAGAAAAAAAGGATTAATATATAATTGTAAATACTAAAAATTTGTTCTCTTACGGACGCTTTGGAAGGATATTTTACGAAGAGGAATAAAAAAGGAATGAAACACAACTGAAGCAGCGATAACATTTTTTTTCTCCACTTTTGTATTAAAAATGCTTCAACAGTACCCAAAAATTTTTTCCATAGAGCAACGTGCGTTTCTTCGGAAAAGAATTCAAACAATCTCTCTCTGTCGGCACATATAAACGTAACAAGTCGTATAAAATAAAGCAATTAAAAATTGACAATAATTAGTGTTCGAGAGCAAGAGCAATTACCGTATACATACATGACATTAGATCTTAGCACAGATATGATAAGGCGCATATATTCTACTCATCGTCAACGGCGAGTAAAAGGAAGGTGTAGTACGCATAATTTTTTTTATCTTTCTGTTTTTGTATCACTGGTATGTTGAAGAGTTCTAGGCTTGATCTGGAATAGGAGACATGATATGATTAGATGATTGATACAAAGAGAACAGGGATTACATTTGGAACTGCAAGGTGCAGGATTATCTAGGCAGTTATCGGTCAGATGTGTCGTTAGTGTGTTGTCGCATACTGTAACGCACGAACGATTGATTTTTCTTTTTTTTCCATTATTTTTCATAATTAATATAATTCTACTGTTGTTTACACTCATTAGGATCATCGCCTTGTTTCCCACCTGAAGGCGCATTAGTAGGAGATGAACCCTCTTCTTCCTCATCCTCCTCGTCGACATCATCGTCGTCATCTCCATCCTCCTCGTCTTCGTAATCTTCATCTTCATCCTCTAAACCTTCACCTATATTTTAAAATTAATCGTCTTATAAAGGAAGAATACTTGGAGATACATTTACAAATACATTACGAATATTGTAAATACAAGTATATCTTTAAAATTAAATATTTTTTGATCTATTACATCGTGCGCGTTTCTAGTTGTTTAGCATGGCATTTATAAATATATCACATGTATTTATGATATTCGTTTTATCGGGAAATTATAATAAATATGCTTATGGAAATTACCTGTGTAGTATAGTACGGCTCTAGGAACTATGCGTTCTCTAATGTAATGACCTAATTCAAAATCGCTGGTCAGTATAGCTTGAGTTTCATCGTCTATATCGGCTTCCGAGTCTTCTGGCACTGAAAAATATAAATTTACATTAAAATTATAAACGAAATGAATATAAATTCAATATACAGAAAGATTTGATATGAGATATTAATTACCGATTGGCGGACTAAAGAAATTAAAGAAGGAATCGTTTTGAACTGTTTTGGTCACAGTACGCATAGATCCTCGAGATTTATGCTTCTGATTTTTCTTAATGGTTTTTATCGTTACGTTCTTGCCCTTTTTCCAATCAACAACGCAGCCCTATGTAAAAGAGATTCCTTTTTTATAGTATTATAATTAATATTAAAGACTAAAATTAAATAATAAAAATTTTACTTTGCATTTATATATCTCAGGTCCTTCAAAACTAAATGGATCATTTTTTTCTGGTGTACATTTCATGATGTATTCTTTAGTGAGCACTGAATTTGAGAAATATTCATTTGGTGTAAAATGGAACTCGAGGACAAATCCCTAAAAAATTAATATATACTTTAATTTAGTTTTTTTAAGTCATATTATCCTACATGATTACTCACCATTGGATTCGATTCCAGAAATTTAACTTTAATATCATTTAAATGTTTTAGGATCGGCTCGTCGTGTTCCTGAACCATATCGGCTAATGTACCTACATTCTTAAATATTGTTAACCAAAAATCTGGGATGCCTTTAGTGTCGTCCTCGTTTTCCGTTCTATGAAAAGTCATAATATAAATTAATTTGCGCAACAATTGCTTACAATTCCAAATAAATTATTTAATATGACTTTTCCTCTTAAGTAGATAAATACATATATGTATATATTATCCTACATAAAAACGTACTCATCCTTATTCTCTGTATTATCCTCAACTTTCGCTTTTTCTTTCATATAATTACTTAGAGTTTCCTCATCATCATCACTCTCCCAAACGCATTGCTCATCCGTTGGCTCATGTGCACCAGATACTATCTCACTCCGCTTCTGATATAAAGGCGCACACATTTTATAGTATTCACATTCCAAAGCATGAACTTCTTCATAAAACTTGGCCTCGATATTAGTAGTAACAAGCTGCAATTGTTTCAGTGCTTTGATCCTGCGTTTGACGGAAGCAGGAAGAGACTGCATTGGCTAAAAATACAATAGTATTTATGAAATTTTGATTTCAGTCAAGTGTAATACACAGTAATTATTTAAGATTATTATTACAAGTATTTAATTTGCATAATTAATAAGCTTATAATTTTTTTTAAATATGTTTTTCTTTACAATTTTAATAACAATTATTAATTTGATATGTTTACAATATATAATATGCAGATATATAATTATATAATTTGATAAAAAAATTAATGATATATATATCTATGTAAAGATAACAAATCGAATAATACATATATGAAATGAATTGCATGACAAGTATATGAAATGTATTTATTCTATCAAAATGTATCATTCTATCTTGTCAGTTAAGTGGGATATAAAAGCAAACAAGCATTAGGAAGCATGCAGTTTAGAAAAAGACTTTTGCAATATCATCATAATTGTAAACATTTAACAAGATCAGTTACAATTTATATAAATCCAAGAATATATAGATTCGTCGAGTTTACAAGACGCGAAATATTGCAATACCTCTAACAGTGGTGTAGTAATACAATCTCGAAGAGCTTCTAACACTTTAGTGTTACGTAAAATTTTTGGTTGGTCGTTATCATCTTCATCTTCGACAGATTCCGTAGCACTAGTATTGACGGCGCGTTCCGGATCGGTTGTCATATTACTACAATTCAAATGTATCGCTATCAATCTCTTTTACCTTTGTACATCTCTTTAGCGTCAACTGTCTATATCGATCTAACATAGAGTCTTTTAGAGTCCGGTCTTTTTAAGTTATAAACTTGTTGAATTCTGTTTGCAATTATAACTTTGTTGAATTTTATGTAGACTGAGGATTTTTATGTATCTATATATTTCACACTTGTATATGATCGTTTTACTTTGCTCGCTAAAGCAGTGCTACAATTTATGCAAAAGTGTACATTGCTGGGTTCACATAGATAAAAAGGCAAGCAACCAATCGAAAGGGAATTTGATTGCAATGTAATTAAAGAATACTCGTAGCATAATTAAAGAATGGAAAAAACATTTATATATGTAGTTCAATTATATATGTACAATGAATACAGAGAGAGGGAAAAATTCATCTCCAAGTGGCATAAAGGTGATAATTAAATGTGTGTGGGTGCAAGACAAAAAATTTAATATAAAAATTTCTGTTCTTTAAATTCTTAATAAAAGACAAATCTAATGGCACATCTGTTTTAGGAATTAGCATGAAATAGTCTGCAAAAAAAGAAAAAACATTTTAATACAAATTTAATTACAAAGAGTAAATTATTCAGGGTACAAACTTGAGAAATTAACAGACATTAAATTTCTCAGACAGGCAAGACAAGAGTGTGCAATGTGACAACGCAGTGCTCGTAAAATGTGCTCCGAATTTACGATATATCAAAAATCTCCATATAAAAAAAGAACAAGATTGCAAGAAATTACACAACTTCGATGCAGCCACGTAATAAAATAATACGACAAATTCACGAAATACATATGTCGAGAGATGAAATGAGATTCTCACAATTCCGTTGAGATTCAAATCGCGCTGATTCACGTGGCAAAAATTTCGCTCAAATCTACGATCTCCTTTTTTTTATTCGATATCTCCTCGATAAATCATAAAAGCCGATTACGCGCGAGGCTGACGTCTCGAGATTCGCCGAAAGGTTATTAGAAGCGATCGCGAGGACAATGAGGAGACACGAGTATGCGGTGTAAATTGAACGCGCGTCGACGAAGCGCGATGAAAGAGCGTGAAAAATAGCAAATAATAGGCTAAAATTCAAGACGCTAGTCGCGGTAAATTTTCTCGCGTCGGGAAAAAATCGCAGGCGAAAAAACGTGCGCACATGGGGGTCGATGGGGTCGAGAGGAACGCCTGTCTCAGGATAAAAGACGTGAAAAAGAACGAAAATGGAGGGAGAGGGGAGAACAAAGTGCGCGCGCGAGAGAGGAAATACGTCGCGGCGAATGTGCGTGTGAACGCGACGTGGAAAGATCCCATCTCGTCGCGAGAAATCGGGCCGGATTCCTCGAATGCGTTACCTTCGTATCACGGAACTGATCCGCAGGAGAAGAGACCAAGTCTGACCGAAGCGGGGAATGAACGAACGACTGCGAACAACGGATCACACGCACGGACCGGTCGCTGCCTCTTGACCGTTGATCGCGAGGAAACGCGCGATACGAAGAGGGGCAACGTCTCGCGCAAACGGGTGGCTGTGGTTTGCCGCGCGGCTGAAGCTGCAGCCAATCGGAGCTTGGCTCCGACGGAAGACCGGCGAGTTGATTGGCGTTGCCTAGAGACCCTATAACAAGCGTCACGATACAAAATATCCATTTTTCATTGGTCCGTACATTTTTTGTCAAGTCTTACTTATATTTGAATTCTGGTCAGCATATTTTAGGAAAAGATATTTTTGTCTCATCTGTAAAAGTAATAATTACGTGCTCTGGTATCTCGTTTCATTTTATTTCTTTGGTGCAACATGCATTTAAATGTTTATATATAATTAAAATAATATATTAAAAAAAAATATATATATAATATATATAAAATATATAAAATAATATATAAAAATAATATATAAAATATATAAAAATAATATAAATAATATAATAATATAATATAACATAAAATAATATAATATTATAAAAATAATATATAAAATATATAAAATAATATATAAAATATATACATAATAAAATTGATAAATAAAATAAGGGTGAAGGATGAACCTCCTAAGCTCTTTGTTATGTAATGACATCGTTGAAAGACGAACGGAGGTCGCGAATTATCATTGGCTCGCCGAACGGAAAGATCGCGGTTCATGGAAACCGTGACCGAATTCAAGATTCGTCATCCGGTGCAGCGTCTACAATTAATCTCGTGAACTGTGGCGTTAACGAAACTGAAAATACAACGAAGTGTCTTGTGTTCGCCGCGGTTATGTTCGCGACGAGATCCGACTGATAGATGTAAAAAAAATCTTTTTTTTTCCCTCTCAATCGCAGCGATCGCAACGAGTCGTCGTCGCCGTCGTCGTCATCGTCGTCGTGCTCGTCGCGATCATAAAAATCCCTCTTCTGGCTACGCCAACGCTTGTTTCCGAGAGTGCGAATACCCGGGACGGTGCGAAATATGCGAATACGTTCGACTCGGTAATATTTCGGCCGCGAAATATGTCAGCGGACACGACGGATCCGGACGGGATTGTCGAGACGGAACATACCCACGATGGCTACCTCGTCGACGAGGTCGACCACTCGACGATCGACCTGTCGGACTTATCTCTCGACAATAACGACGATTGGTGAGTGTCAATGGCTCTTTAATTATCTCAAATTATTATTATTCTTCTCGTTTAACTGTATTAAGGCTGAAGACACTTGGTCTAAATTGGAAGAAGTACGAGGATTTTATCTTTATTTCCATTTCCATTCTTTACCTTTACGTTGAGAAAAAGCAAATATGTTTAGAAAAATTATGATAAGAATATAATAGATGAGAAATGTATGTGAAATGATATACATCCTCTCAATATTATTTGCTGATTAAAAAAAGAATTATTATGTTAATTAAAGATTTTCTCTGTGCTCTCCATGATCTTTATTCTGTACATTGCTTGCTTTTTTGAAATAATTTTAATTTCATTTATGGATCTAAGAACTGTATATTCGTTCACTTGTTAGTTTATTAATTAATTTAGCACATTGTGTTAATTTGAGAAGAATGAATAAAACATTTTTATTTATCTATAATCATATAACATGATAATTTTACAACATTATAGTTGTTATTTAAAATTTGATACTTGAGTATCGAATATCTTTATTGCTTCAATATAGTACAGAATAATAATATAGCAGAGTTGATTTCAAATAGCTCTTCTTTTTTTCAGGTTGTATATGCCTTCGCAATGCTCAACCGAATCTGCAATCCATGATCTATACACCTGGTTGAAAACAGAACCAGAATTGGATGTACAAAGTATAAAACATAGTATTTTAATAAGCTGTTTGCAAAATATTTCCAATTTGATTTATAATCTTAGAGATTTATGTATTACTCATATTATAACTTAAAATTTAATGTTTTTCTAGGTAACAAAAAATACATTGATACAAGAACATTTACAAGACCTAAAAAACGATCGGTTCGAATGAGTTTTGAGTCAATTTTTGAAGGATTACCACCTTCTCCCACGACAAATACATCAAAGATACAAAATGCAGATGTTACGCACACAGAAAATGTAAGTTATTATTTTTAATCAATATATTCTCAAGAATAGATATTTATGGAAATTAATTAAAATTGTATTCTTTTATTTTATAAAACAAATTTATAGAATAAATTAAATAAAAAAGTATTTTCTCAATACAATTATTTTAATAATAATTTTTACAATAATTTTTAAATTATTTTACAATAACTATAAGTTTTTAATTTAATAATCAAAATTTGTAATACGTTAATGTATTTTGATGCGTAATATGTACTAATATTCTATAATTGATCATATTACAGATGGAAAAATATTTACCTCCAACAATGGTAGACAAAGAATCTGTGCCACCAATGTTAAAGTCATCTGCCAAGACAGCTGTAAATATTTTATCCAATGACAACTTTTCAGTAATATCAGGCCAAGAAAGCATGGAAGCATTTTTGAACATGTCGCAATCTAAAGGAATTGATTCGTTCATAAATTTAGGCGAACCCGAATTTAATGATCCATTAATGAACGTCTCACAGCCTTCTATGTTGTATACATCTATTATTTCACCTATAAACGATTCTACATTTGTGGAAAATGACACAATATCCATAACAAATAAAAATGCAACTCAAAATGTTATAAAAGAAGAGTCAGACTTCAATAGTATGAATGAAACATTTATAATGCAAAGTACCGACAATACGATTACACTGGATAATATGTATTGCACAAATACTTTAAATAAAATCCCCAAACAGTCTGTTGAACTGGATAAAGGATTAAACGAAACATATGACACTGAAGCTATCGAAACGTTAGCATTACAATCAAATCTCAACAAAGAAGAAATAGCCACTTTGTCTTCCACTTTTGTAACCGAGCCTAATCGAGCTGATGCTACTTTCGTACAATTATCGAACGAAGTGAATAATATTGAGCCATTAGATACTACGTATTTATCTTCGGTGAAAAACGCCGATAAGAAAAATTCGCCTGTTTCGATTGAGAATGATATATACAAGTCTACCGTACAACATGCGGATTGGAATGTAACGTGTGATATTCCATCAACCGAATCCGCAACAAACATCTTAGATATATCATTCAAGGTGCCTACTCATAATCAATCCACTCCGATGAATCCAAATATGTTGAATCCAATATCGAAATTCGCTGTGAAGCATCTCGATCAACCGCGACAAGCTATGTATTCCACGTTAAAAGCTCCCACATCGTTAAGACGAGAGTTGCTGGCAGAGATTCAACGAAGTGGCGAACGCAAATGGGATTCTACATATAACCATATCCCTGGTGATCATCTCGATTCAAGAGACGCAAAGGAGAATATTCGTAAAGTTTGTAATGAGGACGAGACTGACAATCTTCCATTAAACAGATATCAGACATATAAAAAGTCGGTGTTGACAAACCAGTATAGAAGTCAGAAAGAAATCGCTCAAAAAGAATTATCAACAGACCAACGTAAATTTTATACTTTTACAAAGAAGAGCAACAATAATCCTGTCGAAAAGACTGATGCTATTGCTAGAGAAAATGCTAAAATACAGAATCCAGATATGGATGGTACGTTCTGCAAACCTTTGCCGCCAAAAGCGCAACAAAAACAAACCGTACCGAGAATGCTGTCAAAATTACCAAAGTTCTTACAAAAATCCAATCCCAATCTTGTGTCGAATTCGCTGAAAGCTGCCAGCGGCGCATCTACTGGCTATGCGAGCATATCCAGCGTGGGATACATCAAAGGCTCGCAACCCAATATTGTGCAAAGAGACATCACGGAGAGATCACAGTTAGCGAACAACAAGTTGTATTTATACAAATTGAAGAGCGGTTCCGAGCAACGGTTGCTCGAGCAGGTTAATGCGAATACGAATATTCAGTTTCCGATAAAAAGTGCGATAACTGCCGGCTCGACGGAGAGCATAGAAAGCACTCAGAGTACCCACAGTGTTCCTGACATGGATGATAGACTCAGTACGTGTTCCGATAGCAGCAGTCACAATTCGTGCAACAGACGCACAATGAATATTGAGCAGTTGCATCAATTAGTACGAATGCAGGAAGAGAGTAAGTGCTGAACTTTTGCTATATATTTAGATTTATGTGATTTTAAAATAAGACAAAATTAAAATATCGGAATATAGAAATTTAGAATTAATTAAACATATAGTAGAATGTAAAAATTTAAATTATAAAATTTTAAATAAAAGTTTAGGATTTAGAATCAATTTAGCATAAGATAAATGTAAAATTTATAATTAAAAGCATTGCTTTAGTAAGATTATTGATAAAAAATAGTTAATTTTAAATTTGTATCTTTAGGTTTACAACAGGATTCAGCACCTAAACCACATATACGAGTTTTAGAGAACACTTGGGTCGAAGCAAAGACGGATTTGCCTTCCCCGATTTTGAAAAATGGCATAGAATATGATGAAATTGATAAACATTCACAAAATATTGATTTAAGGATGAAATGTAGTTCTCCATTCAGTCCTACTGGGTCTAGTCATGCATTAAACAACGACGGTAATTAGATTGATCTTTTTTTAAAATAAAACTAATAAAAATTAGTAAATAATTTAATTTAAAATAAATAAGTAAATATTTTAATATATATTTAAAGGAAATCCTGAAGGCAATATAACAAAAACCAAGGATGAAGTTGCGATAGTTGAAAAGACAAAGGTATGTTTTGCACAAACTTATAGTAACTTATAGTATTACAAAATCAACATCATAATATGGATTAACAGCTCAAATTTATTTGTATGTTACTTTTCCAATATGTGATTTATATTTATTTGCTTCAAAATTTTATTGTTCATGTATCCATATCAATTTCAGATTAGAAAAAAGTTTTAATTTATTTTTAATTAATAATATTTTATTATTTAATACTCTACACATTCTTATAATTCTCTTATGCATAATCTTAAATAATAAATGTTACACTTATAATCTTCTCACATATAATTAATTACTAGGTTAATGAACAATAAATTCATTTTTTTACTGTCAAAAAACTCATTTATAAATTATTATTAATGAATAAATTAAATAAATTATTAATGAATTTGTAAAACGATTACATAAACACATTAATTTGTAGGATCCAAATCAAGTAGTGCCTAAAATTGAGAATAAGACTCGATTAAGACAGCCGACCAATTGGAATGCCGGAAGCAAGCCGGCTGCTGTGATAAGTGGAATTCCTAGACCTGCGTCGCGTATACCAGCTCTCAGATTTATTCGACCAAACGCGAAAACTGCTCAAACCGATCTGAAAAAAGGATACACATGAAATTTTGAACGGTAAACAAAACAAAACAGGCAAAAAACATTTAAAAAAAGGATCTTTATTCGAATATATAATTTAATATCGCGTGGCTATTAGAATAATGAGAATATTTTTAATTCTATTATATAGAAGTTTCTCAGAGCTGAGATGAAAAGTCAGTATTACTGAGCTTCCAAATCGAACAATGAGAAAAGATAATAATGTTTTATGTTATGCATATTTATTTGTTTGTATTGCATTTGTAAAATTAGTAGTGTGAAATTTTGTGAAATCATTATTTCTATTTAATGCATTATATGTGCAATTATATGTGCATCTTTTGTCACGATTTAAAGCATTCAAAGCATCATTTTCTTGCTGATGCACATTGAAAATATTTTATTTTGTACTACAACCTTGTATACAAACTTGTAAAATATTTCAAAAAAGAAGTTTTTTGTCCTTATATTAATAAGTAGTAAAAAAAAGTCGAATCTCTTTTGGAAAAAAAATCATCAAAGAGTCGTAAATTTTATAATTGCCAAAACTAAGCTTATATCGTTTGTAATTTCTATAGGATGTAGAAATTTAAATTTCTATTTGGTACTTTATACAAAAAACTGAAAAAAGCATTGCTTTTATACAATGGTCAGTACAAGCAACCGATCTGGAAAATTCTTGTATATAAGAATAATATAAATAATATATAACATTAGAGATTATTTAAGTTATCTTTTGTTAATAAATAATAAATCGGCCGCAAGTTATAAAAAAATCTATTCGAAGAAAAGAAAGACTGCATACGTATCATATTTATAGAAATAATTCAGTCTTCAGCCCTTGTCTCCGTCCCGCTTGACAGGGTGTCTTTCTTTTAAATAAATTCGTAATAATCCGTTTTTGTCAAATCATCTGAAACATATCGTATATTTACATCGTACAAAGAATCTATAAATATATAAAGAAATTAAAAGTTGATATATAACGATATATAAAAAAATTGTTCGATTCATGCGTTCATATCATCATCGTCCAGAAGAAATCTGAACAAATCGACCATTAGAACATTGGCGACAATATGAGTTCGATGATTTTGAGCAGAAAAATAATATAAATCATAAAAATATTTTGTGATTTGTTACACGTGTTATTGCTTGTAGATAAATATGCATTTTGTAGAGTTTTCGCTTTTATTCTTTTTCTTTGTGGACTTCATATTTAGCACACAATGAACAAATAACGATTCGTATATTTTGCTTCGTTATTTAATGAAATTTCACTACTTCTAATTTAATATCAATATTCCTAACAGGAAATTGTCAATTATAATGATTATACGCCATAGTAAACACATATTAAAATATGTTATTTATATATTAATATAAGTAATATTTTTATCGTGGGAAATGTATTATAATATTCTATTGAACGAAATATTCTACAATTAAAATGCAGAAATATTTAATTGAATTCTTACATGCTACTGATATTTATTCTGCAGGAAGCATAAAATGTTAACGCAAGGTAATTTTAATCGCGAACCAGAATTGAGAAGTAATGTGTAATTCGAGTGTAAATAATAAAATGAGAAAGAGATCGTCGTACATTGTAATCTTTATTTATGTCAATAAGTGCTAGACCTGAAGTGCCTTTATTGTATTAATCAAGATACAAACAGCGGTCGTTTATACATAAAAATACAAAAACTAAGAAAATGCGCTCACTAATCTAACAAGTTTACTGCCCAAATAATGCTGGGAATATTTAATGTTACCTCTTTTTTATAAATCTTGTAATAATAAATAATATATGTTATTATACACATTTTCGTCTGTTGTCTATTTTAATAAAAACTCATCCAATTTTTATTCGAATACTGTAAATCCCCTTCTTTGCACATCTCAAAGATAAAAAATTTTATCGAAATTTAATTTAAATATCTGTGTCCTAAATACGTGATTAACATTATTTTTTTTATTTCACTTCAAATAATAAACTATGCATTTGCTTAAGGAGTGCAGTTTTATTATGCAATTCCTCTATTTTCTATATATATTATGCAAATATGTGTGAATAACTTATTACAATAAAAGACTAGAATCTATTCCTTGACTATAGATAAACGTATAACTTATATCAAATGCGTAAAATATTTTTTACCCTCTGATAAATATTTAATAATTAATTATAATAGAAATATAATAAAAACATTTTTGACAATATATATGAGGTACAGATAATATGCATGGAATTGAATAGTAATAATAAATATGTGTCTCACTAAACATAGATTAGTGATGTGGAAACTGCTTCTACATACACACACACAATAATTATGTAAAGTGAAATATGAAAAGATTTATAATGTAAATTATGTATAACAAATGAGTAAATTGATTGTATATAAATTATGACAATTAGAATTGTCATATAAAACAGATTCTTATACAGGTACTTATTTAAAATATTATTGCAGTAAATATGTATAGTCGCCAAAGGTAATTGCCAAATATTGCTGCATTAAAAGCTACTGTATTAATTAGTATTTAAATAATTAAAACATCTACACATCAGATATTGCCATCTAACAACTGACAATATATTTAAAAAATTCTGTCATGTGTTTACAAAAGATCCAAAAAATTCAATAAAAATACTTTGGTCATTTTCTTATATTTGTACCTAAATAGTATATATAATATATATAAATAATATGCAAACATTTAATTAACTTTAGATGCATCTTAAATTATTTTTTAAGACATTATATTTTGTAATTTAATTTGAAGAATCCATGATTATTTCTAGTAGATAATATAAATTGATGCAAAATTGTAAATAAAATTCACATATATAATATTTAGGTAATAATTACAAATAATTATTATAATTTTCGACATATAATTTTAATGTATCTTTAGCATTAATTTAAAAAAATTTCAATTGTTTTATAATATTAAGTGCATCAGAGAAGAAACTCGATTGAAGATGTGCTTGATACTTATTTCTGAGTAGTAGTGTATTGTACTATGTGCTTCATATATTTAGATGTGTTCAAAAAGCTTTTAATAATGGTGAAAATTGCACATCTCCATACGATAAGTATTATGGTAAGTATACAGTAAGTATAGATTTTTACACATATAATCTTATTACATAATCTGAGAATTTATGTGTGTGAGTTATAGTAATAGTGAACATATATAATTAAATATTATATATTATATTATAAATTAAAATATTATGTATAAATATATATTATATAAATTAAAAAATATAATCATGGAAATATATATGAAATGTATATAAAAGAATTACGAATTTTTCATTAATTTTATTATTAATATTTTGCAATATTAATAATGAAATAAAATATTTAAATTATTTGTTTTGTAAACAATTTTGCCATCCTATAATCTTTTTCTTTTTTATCACAATCGATATGATATAATCTTTTAAATGCACAATGAATATCATTATGAATATCATGCCAAGGCACTGTAAAATCATATATTTATGGCTTATCATTTACAAACACCCTGTGCATGAATCACTATTCTTAAAGTATATCAAATGTTTGATATAAAAATGTACTGTGTTAATTTTCTAAATTACTGACCAAGAGATTCATATGAATTTTTATAAACCGCAATTTTATGTCAGTAATTAATTTTAAAGAAAAAATGAAAATGATCACAACGTAACGTGCAATATTTCAAATGTAATGTCAGCATTATCGAAATATTTATGAAAAATTCAACATTTTTTTATCATGAAGAATGTAGCAATAATTTCATTATACATTTAATATAGAAATATTAGATTTACTAGACGAAATATATGAAAAGTGAACACACATTTACAGTGATTCTCATTTCACGTTTTATCATATAATCGAGTTTTTATAAAACGATTCAATATACCATATTCTGATATTATTCAATACTATAAACTGATACTTATTGCTAATATATTGATTGTCCATTAAAATGCTAATGATTTATAATGCTATTATAACTCGTGCGGGCAAGTATATATACTTAACTGATAGTTTACATTCGATCGACGACATCGACGCAATCGCGCTTTTATTCGCACGCTAATTTACTGTCGAAACTACTCAGAGCAATGGCAAATGCCTGGACTGTACAAAGGGGAAATCTATAATCCATTGTAAAAACATCTTCTGCAACACGTCCGAATTGCATCACAACATATTTCACTGAAATTAATTAAAATCCACTATAATCATCATGTACGCAATATATGATCATCAATATATAATTTTATATATATCCTTACTATATTAATATCTCCAAATGAATTGGTATAATTAAAATTTCATAGAAAACTAGAAATTAAAATATAAAGAGAAAATGCTTGCTTCTCTCACCATCGCTATCGTGGACAACTTGAAAATTTTTTACAGATGCTTGAGTTACCCGCCCATGGAAATTAAGCACATAAGACTGTGACTCGTCGTTCCACACAGGAGTTTTATTATGTAATTCTATTAAATTGTCCATATGTTTCGATTTCCAACGTTCTGAAAGTTGAAAACAAAATTACAATATATACAATATATATTGTAATGACATATAATTTTTCCTTCATAACTTTTAATATTATACATAAAATAATTTTAAATATACAGTAGCAAAATACAATATACAGAAAGCAAAATACAATAAATAGAAAGCATATATTATTTCATTAGATATTTTTGTAATTTGTCATACAGATCTAGAATACATTTTATTTGTTTTAATTTTTCATTATTTTATATACTTTAATTAAAACTATAATTACCAAGTAAAGTTTCTGATTCGTCTCGCGGACATATCTCCACTCTCTTTTGATCGGGCGTCATGCCTGGTATGATGACTGTCATTTTACGTGGCCCTTTAAAACCTAAAACGTTTGTGTCATACACTACCGCGGCTAATTCTTGCCGCGGATTGAAACGCTCGTCGCGTTTGTCATCCTTCATCAGCGAGTATCCATTGTCATAAATTGTGAATTGTGTTCCCAAAAGATTTGATCGAAGTTTACCTACGTAAGACTCCCCTCCTCTCGAAAGATCCGTAGGATCGGTTGAGATTAAATAATTACTTGTTGCGCTTTTTTTCCTTTTTCGACCAGCCAATAGGAAGATCTGCAAATATATTACATACAATATACAATTAATATATGAAGATCGAAATAACAAATGAATAAATGTACCTTTTTTCCATAATCACGTTCTAGATGCAAGAAGTAGGTCGGGTAAAGACCACGGTCCATTCCTTTTCGATCGCGCGTTATTCGACATTTATAATACATTTTCTTATTTGCTGGTTGTAACACGAATTGTTCAATGTTACCTTCAACATTTCCTTCCAATTCTGGACTCTAGCAAATCAAAAACATAAAAAGCAATTATTTAAATATGATTTTTTCATTTTTAGAGTACTTATATATAATTATCAAAAAAATTGTAACAATGCATACGGAAGAATTATCATCTCTATTAATAAGAGTACTAGTTCCTTCCGATGGTGCCACTCGAAGGGGCGAGGAACGTGGTAGAGATTCTGAAGGTGAATGGAATTCTATGGGTGATGATTCTTCGTCAGCACAATCAACACTTTGAAAACTTTCATATAGACTTCTTTCATTGACCACTGCTGTAAAATAAATATTAATATGTACTTAAACACGTTGGTTTAATTAGTGCATCAATTTTAGTATATTGTGAATAATTCACAAGGAGTCACATCTTTGTATAATTTTTCATTTTTTTATTCCAATAAGAGATTTAGATTAAATCTATTAAAATTTGATCAATTGAGCTGAATGGGATCATCTTTATTTAGTTCTGTCCCATTTCCTGTCTTATGTCTATATGATGTCGCTATATCATGTCTTCATATGTTGATAATCGAATCATGGTCTTTCTTTTTTACTATATATTGAAGACATATATGTTTTGATTTGATAAGTTAATTAAAAGTTAATTAAAACAGTTTAATATGATTTCAACAGATTAATATGATTTCTAGGATATTATAGACGTATATATAGAACTATATATAAACTATTATGATATATAATCATATATGTATTTAATATATTTTTAAATAATTTAATATCAACTTACCATTAATTGTCCCTTCACTAGTTTTTCTCTCTGTATATGGGCCTATATCTGTATTTGTTTGAGACATAGTATATTGTAATGGGCCATCATACGCTATAAATATATTATAATATCTTTACTAAAGATAATTTTGATATTCTATAAATTGCATTTATGATAATCATGATCAATTGTAATTGTAATCTTACTCATTAATAATTACAAAATAATTTTATTTTCATATTATATTACCATGAAGTTCCTTGTTTGGATTCATCCACCTATTGGAATGACTCGTAAGTTGTGCACTGGATACATTAGATGCCTGGACCATTCCACTTGCACCAGTTTGCCTTTTCTGTTTCATCTTTTGCGCAATTAACTGTCTCTATATTAATTGACGAACAATATAAATTCATTGTGATATAGTATAATTTGTCAATATATAAATAATAAATAGAAAACTAATATCTTGATTCAAAAGATTATTAAAAGATTATTATATCAATATATAAGTTAATTTGATCGCCAATTCACAAATCCATAAATTTCAGTTCTCTTACATGACCTATTTAATTTTGAAATATATTCCTTATATATGTTGTGCAAATATAATGTATATTTTTTTAAATATAACAAAAAGAAAATATCAATAATGTCAATATATTAATCATAAATCTTCCTCTTCAATCTTATTCTTATAAAGACAAAAGAAATTCAAGAATACTTGAGATTATTGGCTATTATTACCCAAGCTTTCGAGCGTTCATTAATTATTTATAGAACAGTTAATTAAAGATTTAACATAAATTTCAATGCTTCCAATTGCTCGTGTACATAATTGTACGTAGCCAGCAGTAAATTACTCCGTTATTATCCTAGATTTTCCATAAATTCGTCCTTTTCGTAAAGTAAGTAACATTTTTGAAAATTAAATAGGTCGCGCTGATGAGAAACAGGGTTACATGCTCCGAGGCAAAGTTTACATATCGAAGGTAAAAGACTCGCGATTAACGTTATCGTGCTTAAATCAAACCTGCTGCTCCAGCTTCTGCTGTCGCAAATCGAGCGATGTCATCTCGCGCGAAATTGGCAGATCACAAGTCAACAAGATACGCGACAAACCAGCCGCTGACAAACCAGCTTTGTTTACGTCAAACACACTCGTTCATTTACGGTACCTAGGCAACCGTTCACTCCAAATTGGATGGCGCATCATGACCTTCATGATGAATCCGCAAAGATGAAAATTAAATGACATTTTCGTCGCGTCATGAAAATACGTACATTTACCAAAAAGTCAAATTAGGGTGCGTTCGGTTTTATGTACGAATCATTCGAGTAACCAATCGACACGAAAGGGACAAAGATTTCTTTGCTCCGATTGGTCAATCAAATGATTTATCTCTCGTATTTACGCATGCGTCCAAAAATTTCATTTGGAATTACCTATCGGTGTTTTTCCTTTATTCAAAGATCGAATGTTGGCGGAATGATTACATTTATTTAAGCGTGGGTTGAAGAAGAAGAAACGTGGAATTTATTGTTATAATTGTACATTGATTTATTTCGTATCTAGAATCTCTATTTTTACATCGATATGGATGACGAGGATGAGACATATAAGTTGTGGCGCATCAGAAAAACGGTAATGCAATTGTGTCACGATAGAGGTTACCTCGTAACGCAGGATGAATTGGATCAGACGTTGGAACAATTTAAAGATCAATTTGGCGACAAACCGAGCGAGAAGAGACCAGCTAGAAGCGATCTCATTGTTTTAGTAGCGCATAATGATGATCCTACCGATCAATTGTTCGTCTTCTTCCCAGACGAGCCAAAGATTGGCATCAAGACCATAAAAACCTATTGCCAACGCATGCAAGAGGAGAAGATTCACAGGTGGATTTATTATATATTTTTCAATATACTTTATATTATTATTATTACTCCTTTATTGTCATACATAAGTGTCATTTACATTATTTATTATCACAATATTCTCTAGTTTGTATATAATATTCACCTTAGAAAAGAAAAATATTAATATCATTTGAACCAATTTTTAAGAAATTAATTAATGATAATTATATATTAATTAATTATTATTAATCATTGATAACTAATTTTAAATTATCTTTTCAATGTTATTATAAAATTATTTATATTTTATTTACAATATTCGACTTGTATTTAATATGGAAGAAATCACAAAATATTATTATTGATGATTATAGAGCGATTATTGTGGTCCAGCAAGGTATGACACCTTCAGCTAAACAATCATTGGTAGACATGGCACCAAAATACATACTGGAACAATTTCTGGAATCTGAGTTATTGATCAATATTACTGAACATGAATTGGTACCCGAGCATATTGTCCTAACTCCGGACGAGAAAGAGGAACTGCTAACAAGATATAAGCTAAAGGAGAATCAATTGATGCGAATACAAGCAGGCGATCCAGTAGCACGGTACTTTGGTCTTAAGCGTGGACAAGTTGTTAAGATCATTAGGCCATCAGAAACTGCAGGAAGATATATATCCTACAGGCTAGTTTGTTAAGGGAAGGAAGACGAAAAAATATATCAAAGATAAGTTGTAAAAAGTTTTACACAGATTAAAAAACACTCCAATTCGAAATTTGCCATTTATTGTACCAGCATTTTATAATGGCTTATCCTCTCTTATATGTTTTGTTATACCATCGCGCTAATAATAACTACAATCGTATTATATGATGTTATTGCTATGTATAAGAAACTGTGGCACCAAGTGTTAAACATACAATCAGCAGTGAATAATTATAAGTCTCATATTTGCGTATACGTCGCTATTTTCCTTCATCTTCTCCATAAGTTTCATATTTTAATGCACTTGTGTCGCACGCGATTACATGCGTAAAATGCACAGTTTATCAGCTCACATTTATAGTCAATATTATATAGCTTAAGTTAATTAGCAATAGAAACAGCAATCGTACAAAAGAGAAAGCGAGTCGCGATGATTTATGATCGTCAGGCTTGGATAAACATTGTTTCGTTATTTTTTATTATTATTATTATACATTTGTTTGGTCCAAAAGTATTATGCTTTACAGTGTATTTTGAAGTAAGAGCATATATTAGCAGTTTCTTGGAGCAATTTTAATTCGATTAATAAATAATCACATTAAATATAATTCATCAAGTGATTCATTTTACTAATGATAGATACATCTTTTTGAGTCTAATTGCATTTGGTCGTGAAATATATTTAAATTGTTATAATATACTGTCCTTTTTCTCTCTTATTTGTTTTTTTTTACTGGTCTTTTCCTCTCTTGTTTTCTTCTTATTAATAATATTAACTAATTTGCACATAATTTGAGTTGAAAACTTAAGTAATTAAGTAATCCAGCAGCAGTCTATTAACGTAGTTAAATAGTCAATTGTTGTAAACTTAAGTCTCAAAAGAATGTGATATTAGGTCACAAGATGTACTTGGATTCTATAAACATTCTCTAAACATTGAGACTTTTGAAATCTCCAAATTTAAATTTTACTACATAATTCTTTCTATATATATAGATCCGAGAATCTAAATTATATTCTAGTATCTTAATTTCTCTAATTACAGGAGACAAACATCGTTATTAAAACCAGCGGAATAAAGAGCGTGATTGCGAAATGCGAGTTTCCGTTTCTAGGATTTATCGCGGTCGATTGATAAAGCTAAAAGCGTACGACAGCAGGAAGTCTCCCGAATGGCACACTCGCTAGCATGTAATAAACGAGTAGACTGGTCACTCGTTATACTAGTTGCGAGATAAATGCTACCGGTATAGCTTGTAATCTCGCGACGCTGCTATTCGAAGGAGTATAATCGGTACCGTTTGGGCACAAGTAAACAAAGCACACGCGGCTATAATTAATATAATATATTGTTATCAATAAAATGTAACATAACACATTAATAGTCATAATAATAATAACCATAAAAGATAATAATAATTACACAATAATGCTAACTTTTGTGCTTTACGCCGTAAGTAAAACATAGAATCATCAAAAAGAAGGCTTACTTAAGAAAAAAAAAGAAAAAGAAACAAAAATGTACATATGCGATTATTCACGAACGCGATTCCACCAAGGTGGAGATCGCGTTCTAAAAGAGACCCTTAGATCCTTGGAGATATACATATATATATATATATATATAGATACTTAGATAACGCTTACATAAAGGATCATTACAGATTTTTTGTTAGAATTTTATAAATGCTTAAATCCTTAGATCCTTAGGCATCTTTTAGGCATCTTTAGATCCCTAGACATTCATAAATCGCATTCTTATATCCTCTTGGATCCTCGGATATCATCAAACATCTTTCAATATTCAAATCGATTAAATATTTAAGTCGATTCTAGATGTTATATCTTCATGCATGAACGTTTCGATGTAATCTATCGTTTCTCTCTTTTTTTCTCTTTTCCTCCGAATAGACGCGTTAACTATTCTTCTGCGACAACCAGAGCATCTTGGTGTTGTAATATATGATCACTTTAAATCGTGTTTATCAGAAGACTTTCCGGCGAGACCACCAATATACTTTAGCGGCCCATTCGATAGGTGAGGTTTGTAAAATATTGTTTATCAAATCCGCAGCGATTCGAATCCTGTAAGTGATAGTGGTGGGATAAGATGGCCGTTGTTCCCAATAACGACCTCTGTGCACTCGGCCGTATAAAGCCTGAAAAATCACATTAATAATTAGAAAAGATATATATATGAGAAGAGATATATCAAATGATAAGAAAAAAATGCCAAATTTTGAAACTATTTTTCTTTATTGTATAATATTATCATATTTGTTTTTAATGTTCGCGAGAAATATTATCGTATTTGTTTTTAACGTCGCGAGTAATATTATTGTATTTGTTTTTAATGTCGCGAGTTCTCTTTTTGTCTTCAATTTACATCTCATATAAATTTCTAAGTAAAGAGATAATGCAGGCATTATAATAATAAGATGTATTGATGTCTCACCTAGGAGTGATATGGCGTAACATAGGTAGACGGGAACAGTCCTCGTCTATTTCCAATCTCTCCGTGCCACCAATGTTGATCTGTGCGGTCTGTAACAGTGATTACGTCTCCTCGTCGAAACTCGAGCTCACCCGGCTCCTGTGGCGTGAAATCATAGAGTGCTTGCACCAGACACTGAAAGCCATGACACAATCGTTTTACGCTGTGACACTAAAATAATTAAGATACTTTCCTTGAAACATTTACATATTTTCTATAAATTAAATGTTCTGAACAAAGAACAATATTTGTTTTTACCTCCTCTGGAATCATATCACGCAACTTAACGTCTTGCGAGCGAGAAACAGATGCCGTGCGATGGTACTCTACCAATTCATTGAGGCTATTAAACTTGACAACCCATAGAAAGAACTTGCCTTGTGCGTCTCTTAATACTTTAAAGTGTTGCACACCATCGGAACACCTATAAGTGCAACAACATTTATACTTATTTTCTTTAATATATTTAATAATAAAATATATATTTTTAATTATTACAGAATAAAATATTACATAGATTTGTAATATCCTTTTATACATATATAGGTATTCATAGTCCGATCTTACATTTAAGATCATCTTAAGAATTCATTCAACCAATCAAATAGCTACAATGCAGCTATTGATTGGTGGAATAAGAGCTTAAGACAATCTTAATATTAATATAAGATAATAAAATATAAGATCGGACCATGAATTCCGGCCATAGAACAAAATATATAATTTAAGATAAATATATTCTATATTTTATAATGTGAATTTCCTAATTGTATCAAAAACTTTTAATAATAACAATAAATTGTAGTTTTATAGTCACATATTATTTATGTATTGTAATAAAAATACTCACTTTACAGATAGGGAGAAATCGCCAGGAGAGCTTTCACTGATTCTGATCAAAAAGGCACCTTCATGTTTATTTGATAATAATCTTTCGGCATCTGCTCTAGTTATCCTTCCATAGTACCAACTATAAACAAAATATTAAAAATAATTTTATATATATAGAAAATAATTTTCATATGTGAAAAAGATACATAGAATAGAATGTAGCATTGTAAGTACATTTCAAATTCATTTAAAGAAAAAATTTGAAAAAATTGTACACCAATATTGTATTCTTTATTAAAGAATAATTTTTTTTCTGCAATTTAGATGCATTTTAATAACATGCATACATAATACAAATAATACATACTCATGGCTTTTCATCTCAATATAATTACTTGGTATAAGCCCTTCTTTAGAATCCAGTTCAGCTCTATACCAATTCATATCATCTTCCATATTTAGAATCTGCAAAAGATACATTTTACACAAAAATTATACAGAGAATTATATAAAGAATATTAATATTATATATAGTATGTATATTGTGTTATATATAAATATTTTTAAATTAACATTTGGAAGCAAATATAGAAAATAAAAACTACATGTGTGCAGCTTTAAATACAAATACAAATAAAGAAAAAAATTAACTATATTGTAGAAGTAACATATTTGTGAAGAATTAATTTTCTAAAATATAATCTTATCTTATTTTAATATTTAATTACTTTTTAATAGTTTCTTATACATTTCTATTTTATATATTATTACACATTCGAAACTACTTGAATAAACTTTATCAATGATATCAGATCTTCCTATCCAATCTACAGTTTAAAGAAAGGATCGATATGAATTATTGCTTGTGATGTAAAAACATTAGAGCACAGATATTGGACGTAAAGTTTTCTAGCCGATCATAATGCTAAGATATCGACAAATTTCTAAAATTGAGTGCGTATTCGAACTGCGAAAAAATCGAAAAAAGTCATTGATTTTTCAAACACCGTCGTTAAAAAAAAAATAAATCCTTCAAAGAGAAAACGTTCGAATGACAACGACGGTAATGTTGGTATTTGTAAAGAGTCGTCGTTAAAAATATTCATTCAAGCAAAACCATCAAGTAGAAGATTAAGAAAAAAAATGATAATAAATCAAAATAAAACTGATGAAACAAAAGGTGATCTTTGCAATAAAAAATAAAGTCTTTTGGAAGATTAATTATTTAAATTTAAACTCTAAAAACAACATTGAACGCAATTGGATTATAATAGAAGTTATTACAAATATGAAAGCGTGACATCATTGTCGACTATTCTTTATTGCGAAAGAAACGACAAAGCGCAAAGGACGCAAAGTTATACAATTTATAAATGAAATTTGTCAACAAGAGAAGAAACGTCAGAAAATAATACTATCATGAATTTTCGATTAAGAATTTAATCGACGCGAATTGAATCTATTAAACGATGATTTATTGACGACAATTACAATCGATATGGAGATATATAAATCTGTTAAAGATGGAAGCGGATGGATGGAAAATCCAGCCGCTACATCGTATCGTGGCAAAAATAACGATAAATAATTTGGAATGCTCGGACAAATTACCAGAGAGAATAATCGTTGATAACAACATTCGTTGTGAAAGAAAAAAACCAAGACCGCTAATGAAAATAACAATTACTGATAATGAATCGATAATAATGTCATTATCGATTATAACACTCATCAATGATTTATTGACCAAACAATTTAGCAATCAAAAAATTAAATAGAGAGAGAAATTCTATATAAATGAATGGTCTCATATTTGAACACAATATGTGATATTGTATCATTTAGAAAATACTTGCAATATTAATAAATAAGGTTAGTATATAATTTATATCATATAATTATAATTTATATTATTATACAACTTTTACAAGTTTTTTTCAGTCTGTCTCAATTCTATCAAAGCTCCTTCTTTTAAAAAATCAGATATAATTGTGATTTTATCTCATATCCATATGGAAGAAAATGGAAGAAAATTAAAAAAATAGCCAGTAACCGGATTTAAGAGTATATCAAGTCTACCTCTGATTGCTTTGATCCAAATCTAATCTAAATTTTTTGTCATCTTCTTTTTCCCTCCCGAGTATCCTCTGTATCTGTACTCGTTTGGGATGAAGGCGATGCAAAAAAGTGCGATCGTAAAAAGCGTCGATTCAGCGTAGCTTTACGACAAGTGCTTTCAATATCGCTTGGAAACAATAAACGAAAATTGTTATCGCTTCGAGCGGTGCGGTAAACATACATAAATATCTCGCGTGCAGGCGCAACAGCTTTCTAGCGCTATCGTACGCGGCAAAATAAGCGAAATTGGCTTCTCGCTTCGGGAAGAGACGCACGTACGAGGGCGAGGAACGGACGAGCGAAGCGAACGAGAGACGGACGAGAGGAGGCGAGTCTCGTGAAGGAGTCCCGTGACCGCCGCGATGCGACGCGACGCGGCGCACCTCTTCCACCGAGGGGACCATCGATGACGGACGGTGGGTGTCATCGGTGTCATCGTTCGCCCGCTAAAGCTGTACCAACCTTGAGGACCTGATTCCTGCGGAAGCTGAGCTCGTCCTCGGCGGTGGCCGTGAAGTCGTGCTTCGCTGTCGCCTCCATTCTTCGTCGGGACGACGGGAAACGGGAGACGACGAACCTCTGGTGCTGGAGGGGACGAGAGGGCGCTCGCTATATGATATTTCGCACTGTTGCGAGACGGAGTGCTACGTCCCGTCGAGGCGAGGGAGGGAAAACGGGGTAGGAGGGGACGGGGGGAGAATACAGGAAAGGAGAGAACGAGAGAGGGAGAGAAAAGGCGTTCCTCGTGTTACACGCAACACGCGTATTTATCTCGTGAATAGTACGCGAAGGGCGATATATGTATACGAGACTACTTGCCGGAGCAAGTGGCGATACAAAAGGAAATTGGAGGAAGCGAGGACTCGATATATGCTTCGTATGCGCTAAAGCGCGCGTGAGAGACAGAGAGAATAGCGGGGACGGGAGAAACGCGCTTTTGGGATTTTTTTTAGCGAGAGATGCTTGCGATTCTTGCCGCGGCGACACCAACGTCACCGTCCTTTGTCCTGGCGCCGGGCGGAGTCGGTCGAAGGATAAGGATATTGTACTTTCCGTGTGTGTGTGTGTATGTATGTATGCACACAGGAATCCCGGACACGTAAGCGACACCGATGATGCGCTCGCGTTTACACTTCACGCACAGCTGTCGTACATGTGTATATTTATGCACGGATTAGCGGATAAATCCCGGATTAGAGCCTCGACATGGTTTAATTTCTTTTATCACCACGTGCTCGTAATTCGATTCCTACGCACACGAAAAATTGTCAAGAGCGATGTGCGTTCGTGCGCGCTATCGCGATACATCGGTCTTATCAAGACTCAAGACACTTATACTTGTTCCGATTCGGCGATTCTCGGTGAAACTCGAGCGAACTCGGCGTCGCTCATCGCTCATGGGTTGCGTTCTGAGATGTGCTCACGTTGGATGAAGCAGCTCGATCGACCAATCAGACGTCTCTGCTCCTCTCGTTCCGATTGGTCGGACGCTGCTCCGACCGACGAGTAGATTTTTCGAACTGCCGCGCATGCGCGGTGATCACGTGAAGTCATCGCGCGTCGCGGACGGGATTAACGAGGATGCGTTGTATCGCGTACGCGACACTATATCCGTTTCCTAAATGATGGCGACTTTTGAAAGTTTTTTTTTACGCTTACGTCAGTCGTCTCGTGACGTCAGAAGCGGAAGATCGAACGGATGGATAAATTAATAGGAGAAAATTGAAGATGAATAATTCTTGGAAAACGGCGTCAAACCGGACGAGTCTTAGTTGAAGAAATCAGTTTCAAGGAAACTTCCTGCCTTCACTTACCTGCTACATTGTGTAAATATAAGAGAACGCGAATATGTAAGACGCAAAGTTAAAATAAATTTCTCTTTTTTTTTACTATTACTTATCAATTATTTTAACAGCGTCACTAAAAAATCACGTTTGTGTGGTTTTTGTATTTATATATATACAATGAGACTTTATAGAAAACAAAGTATACCAATTTTAATAGATACATCTTAGATTTGATTTCGTTATTTTATTTAAACAATCTATAATTTTGTCTCTTTTTTCTAAAAATCTAATATAATATTGTTATAATACGCTTCTTAATCATTATGTTGCGCTTTATATAAATTTTGAAAATTTGAATTTCGCGCTTGCACTTGTCTCCGTTATCGCTATGCTTTATATATCTAACCTCATCCTACAATCTGCGAATCTTTGATTTGCCTAATATACAGTCGAAAACGATAACAATTGTTTGACATTTTCTTGATGCAAATACAGCGATCTAACAATCATAATGTATCCTGTATTCTCCTGATAAAAAGGATAGTAAGTGTTTACACAAATCACAAGATTGGCCGAATGTAAATGTAACCAAAAATTGTAGAAAACACATTTCCTTGCAGATTATTCATAAATTTGCTACAATTATATTTAATAAAAATTCACATGTATTACTTTTTTAAATTTAAATTCGTGGATTTATATAATTAAAATAATATATAATAATATATAATAGTATATAATTAAAAGTTGTATTTTTATCTTTAAACCATCGAATAATTGAAAATTAATGACATTTAATATTAATTTAATATTAATATTAAAAATCATTAATAAATTTAATATTAATTAATTTTAAAAAATGACTATTATATTTTATTAAAAATGACTATTATATTTAATTTGTAGTTTCTCCGTGGAAAATGACCAAGAGCCACGCAATTGAGGGATCGGAAGGTGGCGTCATCTTATCGAGCAACAGTCGGCAAACCAGGACGATGCAATTCGCGTGATGTGACAATAAACAGGTATGTGATTCTAATGCAATACGAAACGGGCGACATAGTACGAAAATAAACAGAACACCTCGTGTTTACGGAAGTCCGTAACAGGTGTTTTTCATCCCCTTCTCCACCTTCTACACCACCTCCGCTTTGCCGCTCCCGCAACCTCCTCTGTCCTCCGAGCTGAGACGTGGGGAAGGGGACAGAAATGCAAGCAAAGCGCCCGTCCATTCGCTTACGTAGGCACTCGTCTTGCGTTGTTCGTGCAAACTCGTCAGCCGTTTCGGTCACGGATGTTTGAGTCCTTGGATACCGAGTATATTCGCGAGAATCTCGGCATTCTTGTTGAAAATCTCAGCTTTTCAATTTTCGACGATTCCATCTTATACCATTCGTGGAATCTTGAACTTATTGCTGAGGCTTCTTATGAATCTGAATATTCGTATAATAAATGATTTCCGTCTCATTTAATATTTGTAAAAAAGTTTAAATAATTCTAAATATTCATGAAACGTAATCTCTCCAAGTTTCCATTGCTTTATAAAATTTATAAACCATTGGATATACATAAACATTTTTTTATTTTGCTTATAACATTTCACAATCTTTTCTAAGACTATCCATTTGAAAGGATTTCGCGAGAGTACGCTTGAAAGTATCGCTCTCGAGAGCAATGAAAATCGTTAGAATGACCAATGTTGAAAGATAACTTTCAATTTTATGTAAAAGAACTATTTAATGTATATATATAAAAAATAAGAAACGTTTAATGCATTATACATGTAATGCATATGCATAGGAACGAGTTTGAGTTTTTCTATAACGTCGCGTTATTTTTTATATTTAAAAGGACTTAAAACTGCATATTATAATGCGGCAAGCTAGTGAATAATTTTTTTAATTGTAAGATTTAATCATGAGACTTAAAAAAACTGATTTCCTTTTTAAATAGATGGCTGTCAGGTGCGTGTGCTTTAAAAAGTTATTCTGTAATAAAAAGTCTATAAAAATATAGGGAGGTGAAACGTCCTCTGTGAGACTTTCCTAAGCACCTGCAGGTAGAAGCCAGGTGCAGCTGCGATATAACTTTGCGTCGCGTTGCAAAAATTTAACTCGAGCTACTATAAATTAGATGTAAATATTCAATTTGAAAAATAAAAACGAATCCTTTTCCACAATAATTTTAATTTAATTTCTTCATAAAAAATACAGTCAACATTATAACATAATAATTAAATATTCGCTTATTTAACGAATATTAAAATAATACTCTTGCATTAAAAAAAAAATTTTTCATATCATTTTACTTTATCTACGAGATTCTAACACGTTTTTTCTGTCTTATCAGTACATTGAAGTCTCGAAAAATCCAAACAAGCAGAAGTTTAACGCGATCGTAAAATTGGAAGAGTCGCTTATTCAAGGATGTTACGAGGCGCGAGGGAACGGAGTTGTGAATAATTCAGCGATCACGACGACGATTCGACGAATCGACGATGACGACGATTCGCAAACATATACCGGAGTCAAAGGACAAAGATTGCGCCGCGCACGATCGTCCGGGGGATGCCTTATAGTGCGCGCTAATGAAGCAGCAAGTCTTTGTGCTGCTTTTATTCTCTTACGTCATCAAATCCAGCAGCGACGACGACGACGACGGCGACGGCAGCACGACCTGGCCGCGTTCTCAGCGCGTAGGATGGCTTGCGCAAGGCGCAATCAGGGACCGACCTCTCGCGGACCGTCCTGGAAGCGCGCCAGCTAATGTGTTTTTCCTCTGACTTTAGGCATTTCGGGCTAACGCAAAATACATACCATTCTCCCATTTACTAGGAAACGTTCATCGTAATGTTGGGAATCTCAGATAAACGGATGAATTATAGCTAGCGTAAAACGAAGTGAACCAATGTTAGAAAGTCATTTTTTTGATACAGGCAAAATGATGTAACAGTAAGTAGAATCAATCAGTCTTTTCGAAAAAATATAAAGAGAGTTATAAACATTTCTTTAGTACAAATAAATATTTTCTTCCCTTTTGCAAAGAAAAAAAGAGAATAGTTATTGTGTAATATTTTAGATCAATTTAATATTGTTTTGCATTTCCACAAAAATGGTTATTAGGTAAGATTATTATCGCTATCTTCTTTGCAAGAAAACGTTAGTGGAAATATTGTTCTTTCAAAAATTATTTTATTCTTAACTAATATCATATATTAGTATAGGATTAAGAATAAAATAGTAATAATACTATCATATATTGACAGCACAAAACTGGTGTACATTCTATAATAAGTATTAGAATATCAAATCAGAATATTAGATCATAAATATTAGAATATTATATCAAAACTATTTCAAAAATATTGCAAAGTATATTTATTGACAATATTTCCAACGTATTCCAAATATTTTACGTTTTAATGACATATATATATATATATATTTATACATCTATTTTACGCATTAAAATTTTGTTGTAAAAGATAATTTTCGGGTAATATTAGCTTTTCAGTTTAATACTCGTTTTACAAAATTTATATCTTGCGATAAAAAAATTCCACTCTTTAAAATTAGTATTAGAAAAAGAGACTTATATAAATATGTCACTACTAGTTGAAGTTAAGAGAAACCTTGATAAAGTCGATTTTATATTAAAATAAAATAATATTAATTTTTTAGATTCTCCTATATAATTTATTGAATATTCAAATTACTACGATTGGAAGAAGAAAAAAGAAAAAATGTGATCTCTAGAGACGTGTGTATTGCTATAAAACTTTGCGGTTATAACGCAGAAACCGCGTTGCGTGACTTGCGACACATCATGACGAAGCAAACTCCTCTCGGGTGTATCATACTCGCGCACGCACGTTGCATGAGAACATGTTGCGTTCACATCATTTAAACCGCCTTCATCAGTCTTTTTATTTCTCTTTCGAGATATTCAGATGTCAAAACAGGTAATCAGCAACTCAATTTTTAAAAATGTACGAAATTCTGTAAATTCAAAATGGCAAAAAATATAAATCTTAATAATAAACAGCAACTCGAAATAATCAGAAAAAATTCCGATTATTACAGTATCAGAAAAATGCAAGGAATTTTTTTTCAATCTCACGAATCTTCAATATCTAATAGATAATTATAGAAAATGAGACTAAAATCTTCGTGTAATAAATAATTATCTAATTTTTATAAAATTGCTTTTGCTTACTTTTTCATAGCTTTCTGATATTTAATTGTTATATAATTTTCATAATTAAATTAATTTATATTAATTTTATTATACTATCTATTATCATATCGTTTTATTTCTATGATTTCTATGTCATACGTTTAATTTTACGCTTAATTTTCCCACATTGAAAATGTGTGAAAATTAAGCGTAAAATTAAATGTACGACATAGAAATCATTTATTTGTTATAAGTCGTAAAATTTAATACAGAACATTTTTGACTGAAGCGGATTTCTTGAATCATTCCAACCAAGAGACCAATTAATGACGTCATAATTATCTCTCACATTAATATGTGAGAACAATCAAAACTTTCCGTATATTTCAATTCACTTGAGCTTATTTTAAGAATTCTTTCAGCTTGTGAAAAAATATGCAAAAGGTTTACACATCAAGTTATTATTTGATAAATCTAACAAATTGATACAAAATCTAAATAGACATTCCAGTTTCCTGATCTCTTATCGCTACTGAAGGGAAAAGGGAAAAAAAACTCTTGGTCAAGAAAATATTAAGAATCTTTCTGTGTAAATTTAAATATTCAATGCGCATATCAATTCCTTCTTTCAAATCATCTGCACTGAATTAGAAAAGTTATGAAGAGTTAAACTCGAGCAAAAAATTGTCTCATATGGAAATTCGCCATTTATTTTATCACATCATGTATTATCACATCATATTTATATGTGTAATCCCTACATGTACTTTTCATCTTAACAGCTTGATCTCTCGTATCGTCTCAAAACAAGAGGAACGAGTGGGCGAGCAGTACTGACCCAGTTGATAGAACCGCGAACGATAGACCCGCGTTGCCGTCGCGGGGAGGAGGAAAAGGACGGAGGAACAACGAGGAGCAGGAGGAAGGAGGATAGGGAAGATGAAAGGGGAAGGGGGAGGGATGATGCACGTAACGGCGGTGACTCACTCTCCGCGTGCGACGGCACGTCGATCTTTGCACCCTCCGTGCCTCCTCCGCCGTGCCATTCCCGGCCCCTCTTCGTCCCGCAACCTTTCCCGGCGCATTTCCCGGCGGCGTGTAACGCGCCGCGCGTGCACACGTGACATTTCGAGTATATCTCGAATTAAACCGTAAACATCGTAGTACAACCTTCGCGGCCACGCGGCACCACACGCCGGTGTCAATGATCCTTGCCTGCCACTTATTGAATCGCGCATTCGCACGACGCGTGTGTCACTGTACACTCTGTTGTTGGATGTTTCTTCCGTTTCTACAGGGTGACCGAGAAGTCGCGCGCCGCGGAGATTTCGAATGCGAGTGATGGGATTTTCAAGAGGATATGACTGTGCGCGGTCCCTCACTTTGCTCGACTCCATGACGTACGTTTCTCGTTACTGAGATATATATTTGAACTGTAATAATAGTATGCTAATTACTACTACTTAAGAAAATACACTCTCCAACATGAGTGACATTAACATATAAATTTCACTCCAATGCTTAGTTTGTCGAATTTATCAGTTTTGTAGGAAACAAGATTATACAAACCTTTAAAGAAATAAGAATAATTATTTTACATATATATATAAAGAATTTTTCTACGAAGAATCGTACAAACTTTATGTTGATAAATTCTCATCCATCAACATTATGGCAAAAATACGCGACCTTTTAAAAGACAGAGAAGTATAGGCTGTATAACTCTTGCAGAAAAGAAGCATAAAACACATGGTTTTTGCATGCAGAAGCAGGGAAGTATAGAACGCGTAGTTTTGTATGATTGCAGTCTATACTGGCAGTCTATACTGCAGTGGCAGATTTTCCTTTTCTACATTATTCATGTCAAGGGATCCGTCAGAGATAGTCTGTGTTCAAACTAACATGTTGCAAACTAACGACTGTACTTAGGCACACGTAGAAAATAACATTTATGTAAAAAATATTTAACGAAATGAAAGTTCTCTTTTTCTAAAGAATCATTATTTTCTTCAAACATAAGTCAATTATATAATATATAATATCTTATATAATATTAATTAATAACGTTAAATATTAAAATTTTTTTCAATCGAAGAGGTCTTGAGAAATTAAAGATTTGTAATGAAAATTGATTATATTTCTATTTAAAATTAACAGAGTCGTCGTGTATCTAAATCTTAATTATTCAGAACTCCAACATGGACATGAAACTCCAACATCTATAACTATTATTTTCCCCAATTTATTCTCAAATATTCGCAATACAGGCAAACAACTCACATCACTACCTGTTTATTATATAACGTTACTTTAAATGTAGCTTTATAGGACACTGTGTATATATTATATTGCATCACGTTACATAATATCTATCCGTTTAACATTACGACGAAACACACACACACATACACTGCAGTATATATCTACATACACATGTATGCATGTGTATCTACGCTTTCGGCTCCCACGCGTCATTCGTCGGCGGCGCGTCGTCACACGTCACACGTCACTCGTCGATCATTTCATGTTCATCGTCGCCGCCCGTGAACTCTCCGCCGGCGGTTTCGTAGGTAAACCGAACGTGTCCGAGTGCGCACGTGCGTACGTCTGGCTGCGTGTCTCGCGTGTCCACGTTCGACGAACGAAGACGAGCGGTGGCGGAAGGGGCGAGAGGGATGAGAGTCACGTGTGCGGAGGATCTACTACGATTTACTCGCGGGATCCCAGAAGCGTCTGCCACCCTTGCCCTCGCCCCCGCCCCCGTCCCTCTGCGACCGTTCCGTTCCCCCCTCGCGGCTCATCCTCCTTCTCCTCCTCCTGCTCTTCTCTTATTCTCCTTCTATTCTTGTTGTACTACGACGGGTTACTCCACTTTCATTCAGACGCTGGTCTAAAAATAAAGTCCTTGATTCACGATGCATGAATGACAATCTTATCGCGGGAGGCCTTAAATCGTGGAAAAGATTTACATCCGAATACTAGACAGCTGTCTATTTGGTATCGCGTGTATCGCGTGTGCTGTATGACACGTTTCTTATCTCCAGAATAAAAAACGTGCTACAGATTATTTAATAATATTAGTAATAACATCGAAACGTAATATGAGATACTTTCCTTTTTATTGATCGGTTCTTTCTTAAAGTTGCACTTTAAAATATCTCTCTCCCTCTCTTTTTAAATATTAAATATTAAATAATTAGATTCTATAAAATTCTATAAAATGTAATTATTAATTTAACGACACAGGAAAATTATTACATATATGAATTTGTATTTATAATTGATAATTATGACTTAGTGGCAATCATATCTTGTTGAATTGCTGTATTAAAAGATGAGAGAGAGTTATTGATCAGTATTCCTTGTAACAGCATAATATTATATCTTCTTCGAAAAATAAATCATGTAAATCTGCGATTCAAATTTTTATTGAAACAAGATTTAGTGCATATTAATCTGTAAAATCACTGTAATTCAAAGCTTATTCAGAAAACTCTTTCAGAAAGCATCAGAAAAACCAATGCATTTCATAGATAATAAAAAAGACAGTGATCTAAAAAACGAAAGTCTTGAAATTATATATATATATATATATATATATATATATATACATATATATATACATATATGATGATACTGAACTGATAGTGCAATATATAAAAAAAACAAAGCATTATATACTATATATCCATTAATTCGATTGGCTTTAATAAATAAGTGTTCTTGATTTCAATAAACTTATTACAATTTCTGCTTTTGATCATCGTTTTCAATTTATTTTTTATATTTGTGTGTTGAAAAAATTTTCATAGTAATTCATTCTTGAGTGTATAATTATAATAATAGAAAATAGGCATAAACACGCGCAATAATTATATAATATTAATAAATCAGTATTAATAATATATATTGTACATAATATAATACTGTGATTATATATATATATTTTTTTTTTTTCTAATATTCTAATATTATTCTAAATTACATGAATAATTAATACATATAATTTACATATAATTAATTATATATAATATAAATATTTAATATAATTTAGAATATATATTTTAATAATATTAACACTATATAAAGATATATAGATAATAAATTATATATATAAAATTTCAATTATTTCAGGGAATATTCAATCATCTTAGAACACGTTTTCGAGTATAAGAAAACACGCTGCAGCTCGCGCACTGTATTCCTCGCTCAGGGCGAGCTGTTTCGCAGCGACCAAGGCGAACTTCTTCGTTCTCCAACTCGTCATCGCTGCCGCTCAATCGAGATATCCAGCGCTTATATCTTTCTACGTATTTTTCTCTATCCTAGAATTATTGCAAAACACGTTATTTTGCGGTAATACTGATCGCCACGCAGCAAAGTTACACGTACGTATATATTGATTTCATGAATATATAATTAAAAATACATTAATACTGTTCTCTTTATAATTTTAGGCACGATATATTTATATATAACTTTTTTTCCAAATGCAATATAATATAATAGCATATAAATATAATATAATTGTATGTAAAAATTCAACGTATCATCAATATTCAATTATGCAACAGTATCGTTAGCTAAATTATTTTATTTAAAATAAGATTATTAATTATCATTTATGTGCGAGAAAAGAAAGTGATTATTATTATAATCTAGAATAAAAAAAAGATGAATGAAAATTGTATCTAGGAATTTTGGACTTTGCAGTGTTTTGCCACATGTTTTGCTCGTTGCTATAATTAATACTTTTATTTTGAAGAATAATCATAAATAAAATAATTTAGCTAACGATACTGTTGCATAACTGAATACTGATATGTTCAATTTTTATATACAATTATTATATTACTTATTACAATTTTATTTCTTTATACAACAAATTTTACTTATAATACAATACAATTATTTAATATTCTAATATAATAATATAATAATATAATACACAGATTGCACGATATCGAAATTCTGTTTGAAACTTTTAAAATAAACGTTTTGAAATGAGGTTCTACGAAGAGCAAGCGCGCATCGCAAATCTTTTATTATTCTGTATTCCAATAATCATTGAATCATCTCAAAATAGAAAATGCTCGGATCCTTAAATACCCTTAGAGAGAGGAGAAGAGAGGAAGAGAGAGAAGGCGTGAATACGTCTATAGATCGACGAGTTTTTCCACGCTTTTCATGGTAAATAAATAAATATCGATCGCCGCGTGGCTCACGATGTCGGAGACGAGCGAGCCAGCAAGCGAGCGAGGGAACGCTAGGTTGGAAGCTCAAACACATTCCGTGTGTGTGCGCGCGCGCGCGCGCGTGCTCGCTCCGTCTCTCTTCCACAGCTAAATATATATTTCTCTCTGAAGCGGCTCAAGGTCACAGCGCTCGGATTGGCTCGCGATAAAGCGCCTCGTTCCTCGCATGCTAGCTCGCTCGCTGCCTTCCTTCGACCGTGTCCGCACGTCAGAGCGGCGCGACATTGTCACGAGGTATATGGCGAATGGGAAAACGAGATAGCGAGAGAAAGAGAGAAATAGAGAGAGAACCCACGTGTTTCCCTGCGTAGCATCACGTTCGGCGCGATGTTGGCACACGAATCGTGTGGCAGTTACGCGATACCTCTTGAGCCGTGTGGATGTTGTCGATTCTTCTCATTGGGAGGCCACGGACGTCGCAGATGACGCGTCTCGACATTGATATGACGGGGAATAGGATTTTCCGTTTTTCGAATTGTTACTATGACACACGATTTTCTCCCCTTTAGGAGATAATCCAACTAATCGTATTCGAATTTTGTAGCTTTTGTAGCTTTCTTTTCTTGTAAAATATAGTAAACGTTAAAGAATCGGCCAAGATCTTTTTCTTTTTTTCATAGAATTCAGTTGATAATTTTTCAAAGGCCAGATATATGAATCTAAAAGTTTCTCGATTCCCTTTGGCATCTTCATTCATTACTAATGTCACGATATTGCCCCATAATGTCCATCGGAAAAGAATTTATTAATTTTAATTATATGCTATTGAATTTATTAATCAATATTTTCTTTAATTCGCGATTGCTCTCTCTCTCTCTCTCTCTTCTCTATCACAAGAATGAAAATGATATAAAGTAAGCGCGAAATATAACAGAAATAGGAATAGATAGGTATATATAGGAAGCGACAAGTTTAATACATGTATAAATAATCTTTCTGATATTATAAAAGATTAATAATAAAATATTTATACATGAAATTCTTTTTAATAGATATACATTTTATATCTTGAAGACTATATATATTTATTTAATTTTTCTTTTTTGCTTCTCATTATTTCAAAGACCATATATTGAATTTATTTATGTATTTAGCTTTAAATGTCATTTTAATTCTGAGTTTATTAGTTTATTTAAGAAATACACTATCTTGAATTTACTTATCGAGAGATACTATCTTGAATTTACTTATGTATTTAACGCTAAATATCATTTTAATTCTGAGTTTATTATTTAAGATATACATATATATATATAAATGTGTAAATACATATTTAGATATAAATGTGGGAGATAATCATATTTGGCTTCAAATGCACTAGAAATTTTCTTTAATAAATTTTACGTTATTTAGAAGATATAAACTACTTTTTGTTTCGTTCTTTTCGACTCTTGTTTGAAAAAGTATTTCCGCAAATTTTTATCCTGACATAATATCGCAGATATTATATCGATAATTATTATCACTTTTATTTTCATATGAAAAATTATAAAGCAGGAACAAATTTTTATTTACTTGTGAAAAGACATACAATTAATTTTCTTGCGTGCATACATGATTTTCGATCTTCACTTTTCAAAAGTTAAGCCAAGTTTTGTTATTATATTTCCATATATATTATTAATCGGGAAATAATATATAACACGGTTTATTATAATTTCACTTATAGAGTATTTAATTTTTCGATTGTTTTTTATTAGATTGCATTTTGATATTTTCCCATTGAATATTGCAGAGCAACTGCGATTGGAAATCAAATCCGGGAGACTTTCGCTTATCGGACGGCTGTTTCTCCACTAACAATAAGCCACACTGTGGAAGTAAGTTACACCTGGAAAGTTTAACAAGATTGACACTTGCAATCTGTATTTTCTCTAGACACTTTCAAGATACAGATACAGGTAGAAATAATATCCGACTGTTCAAAAAGTAAGATTCGATAGCAATAGTTTGTAATTGATACATACTTATCTATCAGATCAGTCTTTCATAAAAATCAACTATCAGTTTTTCATGAAAATCAATCACTCAACTATTCGTTGTACTCATTGAATGTAGACCATACCTAAGACATCGTACACACAAATGATTAAAAAAACCATTGATAAAATATAATAGTATGTATAATAGTATCTTTTGATATCCGTTAATGTGTTCTATCAATTCAATGACTTTTTGTCGCTGCGACAAAAAAATAATAACTCGTATGTATGAAATTTTACAATAATAAGAGGGAAAATAGAGATTAACCGGATGTACGAATGCTCTAACTATCTGTTATATAACATTCGACGATTAATAATAATCTATTATGTGTACGTAAATGTGTAATTTTCTTATTTGTTATATTTTATCACATATCTTTCTCTCTCTCTCCCTTAATATTTTATTTTATTATAGGTGTTTTTCCCCAGCTTCGCGTCATGCCATATTTTCCTCGCGAAGTCGCCGCTATACACGGTGATATCGCCTCGACGAAAATCTTCCCGCGCCGCGCTCGCCGTGTAAATCGAACGTTCGATAACGGACGGTGGCGAGAGAAGGAGGGAGCGTGCGAGCGAGCAAACGAACGAGCAAGGGACGATCTGGCAACAACGCCGAGTCGCAGTGCCGGAATTGAATTTCAAGCGCCCGAGGGACAGAAGAGGGGGCGGACCGACCGGCGCGGCCCTTTCTCTTTTGTATAGGGGGCACGAGGCGCATAACGGTGAGTCGACAGCCATGTTGTTGAAGCTTATACCCGGCATGCCCGTTTGCTTGCCTGCCTGCCTGCCTGCCTGCCTGCCTGCCTGTTTGCCTGCCTGCTTGGTTATCTGTCTGGCCTACGTGCCTGCGCCTATATTCCACACAATCGTTTCTCTTCGCTTCGCTCCGTTCCACATCGCTTAATGGGGCTCCGTCTGCGTGGACAGAAAGGAAAAAGGCATAATCGCGTAGTTTTAAGGGCGATCGAACCTGTCAGATTTCAGACTGCACGTTTTGAAATTTGGAAAGATACACTATAGTTATCTCGAAAAGAGTAGGAAGAGAACGGGGCGTCGAAGCGCAGAGAGACGTTCCTGGGAAAACCAAACTTCCCTTCACCTTTATCGCCCTTTTTCCTGTTGTAACTTTACCCGTATTACTCGGAGCAGGCCCATAGTGGGGCCTAACGAACGCACGGTAAACCGAGGCCCGAACGTATATTTTTGAAGAAGGTAGAAAAATATTTTCTTGTTTTTTAGATGATTTATAAAATTTTTCTTTAAAATTTTAATAAATTAATAATAAATTTTAATAAATTTTAATAATAAATTTTAATAAATTATCAAGAGTATCTTTTATAAACTCCTTTTCATTCTTTCGACAAATATTTCCAGCAATTTTTTTCACTTCTAATTATAAGGTGATTTTCGTGTAAAATAAATCTTACATATTATTTTTTATCACTTTTCTAGATTTCTGAGCTATTTAAAATATATGAAAATTTTTTAATTTAGTATCTAAAATTAGTTTGTAATAAATTTCGCATTTTTCTACTAAGAATTGCATTTCCTTTGCATCTTTAACCTTTTGACTGTGTGTTTGACGTATTTGCATCTTTGACCTTTTGTAAGAAATTACAATTTCTCTAAAAAAAAACCAATTATTTTCAAAACTGATTCTCTGCATTTTTTGCATTCACATGACCACGTGACTTCGAAACTTAAAGCACAACACGGTGTATTTTTGTTTTAATAGATTGCTGTCCGGCACGCTCTACTGGATGTCCTAAAAGAACATGACCCATTAGCCGCGCTACGTCTTTATCTTACAAAGCTGACATGCTGGTGAAACTTGGCAAATGCGCACACCGGCGTATCATCTGAACGCAGCTGCGTAAGATTCACCCTCTGAGAATCGGTTCGAAGCGACTGCCAGAAACAGTCGAGCGTTTCGTCGCGGGACATCCGTTACGAAGTATGCGCTTCTGGAGAAGATTTGTATATAACGACGTAGCTCCAACATTTATTGCTGCATCATTTCATAATTATACAAGCTTTTCTCAAATTCCCCCAACTATTTTCATTCTAATTATTATTATCTATTATTAATTATATTAAAAAAAGATAAGGGGAGAAAAATAAAAATTGCAGCAATAAAAAAAGAACCTACTATAAAGCTTGTGTGTATATGAATATATTCTATATATTTATATACTCGAAAACTTTACACGTACATATACATAATCTTTAAAAATAAACTCCCCAACGTCTTCCCTCTCCGTTCACGAATAACCACTTGGCTCGTTTACAATCTTACATCTTATAATATATCGCGTATTCGAACTTTGTCGAGTTAATTACGCCAATATTGTCGCAAATGAATGAATTAAAACGTATTAAATTCGTGTGTATTATCGGAGGGAAAGAGGGGCGTAAGGTCAATATCGTCAGAAAATTCCATGCGCTTTTTCATAAGCACAACAGCGGAACAACTCGGAGTTATTTTATCCATCCCTGGGCGCCGCGTCTCCACCGACGAGGCGCCGAGGAGGGGACGCAATGCGCAGCTGACGGTAGACGTGATGTCCGGACGCGCGCGGACGGCAAGGGGAGAATGCTCGTCCGCTCGCGCTCTCTCGCTCGCTCGCTCGTCGGGTGCGGGTCACCGGGAGTCGGGGGACTGGCGGGGTGCCAGCTGCGGCGAGCGAAGGCGCTGCCCTCGCGCGGCCGGCTACCGTACCACGATTACGCATACACTTTCGCGACCGGGCCAGCGATTGGCTGGCCGGTTGGCTACGTGCGTTCCTCCGTTCTCGTTTCCCAAGAGAAGGAGGGAGACGGTGGGAGGGGGAGAAGGAGCAGGGATGCCCTCGCGTGTGCGTGGATTTCTATACACACACGCGTTGCGTTATTACACGCGTGTTACACGCAGCTGAGCGTCTTTCCGCAACGCATAGAAGAGATACGCTCGCAAATGTATCGCGGATTCCCGGCCGCGATATTCCCGCGTAGAAAAAAGGAATATCGACTCGATAAACACGATCGCGAAACGGCATCGTGGGGGGAGTGGCGGGGAGGGTGAGCGAGAGAGACGGAGAGAGAGAGAGAGAAAGAGCGCCGCGCTCGACCAATCGCCGTGTCCCGTGGCTCCGTCGTCGATGAGACGGTCGAAGCGCGACGTAACCTCAGTCGCTTACGTGGAAACACGCCTGCCAGGCGACGCGAGTAAATCGAACGAGCGAAAATTGTAAGACGAAAAACGGACAGTTAAAATACATATATATACAATATATATATATATATATCTATATATTCATCTATCTATATATATCTATATATTCACGTTGCGTTAGAAACGCGCGATTTAAATTTACCATCGGGTGCGTACGTACTTTTGTATCGGTATCGTTTTTCAACGCGAAATCACGCTATACGCGCGAATATTCGCGACGGAGTCACGTTGATACGCTTATTGCCGAGCGAAGAGACAGGGAACGAGTGTTCCGTCGTGCGTGAGAACGAGAGAGAGGAGACGCGCCGCAACGCTTCGTAGAGAAAGGAGCCTCTCCGTGGAATCTCCTCACGCTCCCCTCCGACACACTCCGACACACTGCACAAGGTGTCGAAGGCACGTCGCCGCGTATTCGACCGAATTTCGCGACCCATAAGCGTGAGAGAGACAGACGCGATAGACAGACAGAGGGAGAGAGAGAGAGTAAGGGAAAGAGAGAGAGAGAAAAAGAAAGTGCGTATACGTGTGTTGTGCGAGAGAAAAAAAGGGAAGTAGACGCGATCAAAGGCAATAGAGAAGGACAAACGTGGAAGAGAGAGACGGAAGAAGCGATCGAGTGGGAGAGATACGGCTTCCTAAAGCGTGGGATAGAGCGAGAGGAGCGAGGAATCGGGTGGAGCGAGAGAAACGGATAGAGGGACTCGACGGAGAAAGCGTGACGGACGTATTCCGTGGCGAGATCGAGTGGTGAGAAGGGACAGAGAGAAAGAGAGAGTCGAGCACTCGGGGACGAGCGCGAGCGAGAGAGAGGGCGCGAGAGGAGAGGCACAGTCAAGTGGAGGGGGTAGAGGCGCAACCCGAGCGGTGCTGCCGCCTATTGGCAACGTCGCGTCGGCTCCCCACCCGGGCCAGTGTCGAGCGAGGTCCGATGGAGAGTGCTTTACAGTAGTGTGATTATCCCTCGAGACGTCGTCGTGGTGTCGAGAACGTTCGCTTGTACTCTACGCTCGCCGAGCGATATAGACGGGCGCCTGGCAACCGTAACTCTCCTAGTGCGCGCATTTTTCCTATTTATTCCCACTTTGATATATACATAATTCCGCTCGCGTATATACGTACATATACGCGTAACGCACATCTCGTAACGTCCTCTCGGATCTCTCTGTTGGCGAGAGTCGAGAGAGTCCGTAACGTCGCTCGGTACTCTCGTACTCTCCCACCACCGTGATCGATTTCCCACGCGACGCGCTTACTCGCGCCGCACTGGTGAGGGAGTCCGCGAGGGTGAAGTAGGATTCCTCGGCGAGGAGCAGACGAGACGCGACGCGGCAACGCCGCCCGTGGCAGCGACGGTGGCGGTGTTAGCGGCAGCGATAGAGGCGGCAGCGGCGACAGAGATAGAGGCAGCAGCAACGGGGACGGCGGACCTCGCGTTTTACGGAGCAACGGCAGCAGGCGGCGTTGGTGCTGCGCCCCGACGGCCGTCGATCGAAGCCCGCGTTATCGCAATGGCTTCCGTGAAAGACACCGCGACTTTCTTTGCGGAGGGCACCGCGACACAGTTCGAACACGTTTTCAAACTTTACCCACAGGCGTTGCGCCTCAAGGCCGATCACAAATCGAAAAAGCCCGAGGAGCTGATCAAGCTAGACAACTGGTAAGTTATTACATGTATCTCTGCCGCGACGGCGACGCTGTCATTGCTTTGTGTGTGTTGCGTGCGCGCACGCGGAGAAAGGGAATAAACGAGCGAGCGAGAGAAAGAAAGAAGGGGAAAGAGAGGTAGGTAGATAGATAAGAGGTAGACAGATGGGAAGAAGAAAGGAGACAACGGCGATGTATGGGGAATGAGTGAGTGAGAGAGAGAGAGAGAGAGAGAGAGAGGGGGAGCGAAGCGAGCTGCCGCCGCTGACGGGGCCGACATTGCGGCGCGGCCCAAGGGAGGAAACGGCGCTCTACCACGGGGCGCACGCGGGACAATGAACCCGCTTCGTGCTGTTCTCCGCGAGCGAACGAAGCGGGAGCGGCAACGTCGCGTGTGCGCGCCCGTATGTCACCCTCGCGACACTGTCGCGTTTCGTCGAGACATCGTCGAGATCACCCCCGTGGAATTATTAAATGCGACTCGCCAAAGATCCACGTCACGTCATGGATTTCCCCGAGTAACGAGTTTTAGGGGAGACGAAGGCGCGTGAAAACACAAGTGATAATGATATGAATACTGTCAAGATTTTTCTCCTTTGACATAAGTATTGCTCCGATATGACGAGATCGATATAGAGCGCGTCTTTTAGCTGTTAGTATTTTTTTTAACAAACTAGAAAGTCTAGAAGAGATGACAAAGAAAGAGGACAAATTTTATATATAATTCTATATAAATATAAAATACTCGTACATTTGTATATGTATTAATTAAAAGAACATTTTTTTTTATAAATATGTGTTTTATTGTTTTATATTTATAAAAGAAAAAAATTCAATTGTTATTTATACAAATTATTATTTATATATTACTATATGTATTATTTTTGTATAAAGTCATGATAGAGTAAAATGTAGATAGTTCCTCATTTTCTTTTTAATATGATTATGTATACTTTCTAATAAAAAATTTATATATGACAGTAATTACATTCGTGAAGGTTTCCAAAAAGTTTAATTGAAAAATTGCGTAATTTGAAGGTATTGGACAATATATTTAGATTAATATAGAGTTTTTTTAAGTTATTGCCTAATAAAAAAAAATTAAGATAAAATATTTGATCCAAACTTAAGATTTTTTGATCATGTATCTAAAATAATAATCTATTTGATTGTTTGAATATAATCATGCACTATTTCAAAGAAGGAATATATCAAAGATGCGAATCTGAAAATATAGATCTCAGAATTTTATGCTTAGAAGTTTTACGAAATTATAAATAAATAGTTATAGATTACATACAATTTCTAAAATAATCAAATATTAAATCTTACTATTTTCTTACATAATAATATTCTTAGATCACGGGACATTTAAAATTGTGGACCCTTTGGATCTAAGATTCGAAGATTTTCTAGGATATTTAATATATATAATATATATTTAAATTAACAGATTTGAGAATAAAATTATATCTCCAAGATATCGAAAATAATTTTAAATTAGATAATTAAATTAAATAAAATTTTGTAAATTTTACTCGTAGTTTAAGTACTTTATTACAACATAAAAAATAATTATTATTCTTAATTTCTATTTGAAAGAGAATTATTTCAATATTGTGACAAATATATATGAGTTAATTACGAAAAATTTATATATAATATCTCTGCAAAATCTAAACTTTTTAATCATGATTTAAAGTAATTTCTTTCGAGAATAGTAAAAATACATAATGGTTTGATAAAATACTAAAAGACACAGAATATTAACAATTATCTTAATAAACTATTTTTTAAAATTAAATAAAATTATAGCTAATTAATAAAATTATTAGAAACAATAGATAAAGCTGAGAGCATGTAAGAAACAAAAAGTTTTTTTTACTAACGTAAAATCTATATATATATATATATATTTCCCAATTTATCATTGATTCTCACGCGACTGATAAACTCGCATTGTTTGTCTCTATACGCACGCGATATAGATTGTTTTTATCGATTGTGACGTATATACATGCCTGCTGAGATGGGACAGAAAAAGATGGACAGGAATAGTGACAGAACGAACACGAACGTGTAAAAGGGTGTTGGGGGGGAAGGGGGAAGGGAAGGGAGAACAGACTTTACGCGCCAGTTTCTTCCGTGTTGCAGAAGCGAGGGTGAGGGCGACGAGGGGTCAGGGGAAGTGGAGTACCGTTGTTTTCATTCCCATTGAGGCCAGTTTGTGTCAAGGCTGCTTTTCCACGGTGCCAAGCCGTGTGCGGATATGCGGTATTACGAGGTGCAGCGCGCGTTTCAGCTTCGTGAAACATAACTATCGGCTCGAAAAGTCTTTCTAATGAGTGACACGTGGGAATTTATCGAGAAATAAAATTGCGAGACGCGTGAAAATGAAAAAAATTACTGTAAAAATGCCTCAAACGCGGAGAAAATGGAACAATTATTACATTTCTAAAACAGAGTCTTTATCTTGTATAAATTTAGCGACTTTTATATTTGTTTAACGTGTAAAAGAAATTTTATTTTAAATATTTAATACATTTTTTTAGATAATATTAAATAAATTATTAATACAATTTATCTTTTTAAACAATCTATTATATCTTGCGTCATGTATAATAACTAGCATTTAATTATGATTTTAATATATACATATTTATAAATATTTATATATGTATACAAAAATTATTAAGTCTAATTTATAATTTATTAAATCATAATAAATGCTGAACAGATTTCAAGGTTAAACAAATTATCAAAATTACAAATTTAATAGTATTCTCGTAACCATTTCATATGTAATATATTAAGTTATATAGTCTCGCTTATTTATATGTAAAAATTCGATTTAATATTTTATGATTTGTCTTAAAATAATTCGATTCATTGTAATAATTTATTAGCACAAAAGTAATTATTAAAAGCATCATTATGATCGTATAATCTCTCAGATTTCATATCAGGATTTTTAGACTCTTCGATTCTTTAATTCGGTCAATCAATTTTTTAATTTTTAATTCATTCGTTAAAAACTTTTATTATATTTAAAATTTCTTTGGTTTTTTAAATAGTCTTGAATTAATTTGCATTTTGCGAATGTAATGAATGTCAATAAAGACTCACAAAAAGTCACACCGCCGCATGGATCCACGTGTGATCCACGTGCGCGATAAAGATGGATATCCTCCAATCGTTGACGAGGGGCGTGTCGGGCTTCTTGCGGTAGCGTTTGTATTTTTAATCGAGCCTTTAACGAATTCCTGTATTCTACAGCAGTAACAGCGGCGGCGACGGCGCGATTACGTCACGCCCGCTCATGCGTACGCATACGCGTGCGGCTACATGCATGCGTGCGCGCGCGCGCGCGCACTCTGCATTTTCTGATGACGCTAGATCGATCTTGATCGCCCGGATCTTGTTGTTTGTATCGGCAGGTATCAGAATGAGCTTCCTAAGAAGATCAAATCACGCGGCAAGGACGCGCACCTCAATCACGAGGAGCTGGTGCAGACGATGAAATGGAAGCAAATAGTAAGTGGCTTTTTCCTCATTGGAATAACAGAAATAATCAGATTCTGTCAAATCCAAATAAAGTTGTTTATCTCCAACCAAATATTAAGTTAAAGTAAACGAATTTTAATAATTTATTTTATTTTATTTAACGAAATGTACGGGAGAGGATAAATGTTATTAGCAGTAAAATATGAATAGTATTTTTTAAGTATATATAGCTAAAAAAGTTATAGAAGTATATATATTATAGTTTATGAGACTTATAAATTATACATAATTATAATTTTTATGAAAAAAAATTGCGTTAATAGAAATCAAAAAAGCAATATTATTCCTGCAAATCATTTTTGAGAAAAAATATCATTTCCTATTTCATATTTCAAATCATTGGTTTTACTGTACAATATATTATATAAAATTTTATCGACTTGGAATTAGACAAAGTCTGATTTTTAAGTTACAATTTTTTCGTTCGTTTTTAAGTTACATATTCTTCGCGATGTAATTAACAAGTGTAAATCGAAAGATTTTTGCGAAAACAAGTAACTGACAAACCAAGCGATGTTTCACGAGACTGCCTGCCATTTTGTTTTCAGCGCGGCAAGTTTTATCCACAGCTGTCCTACCTGGTGAAGGTGAACACACCGCGCGCCGTGATGGCGGAAACGAAGAAAGCATTCAAAAAGCTTCCGAATCTCGAACAGGCGATTACGGCGTTATCGAATCTGAAGGGCGTCGGTACCACGATGGCGTCCGCCCTGCTTGCTGCAGCGTCGCCGGAAAACGCGCCCTTCATGGCTGACGAGTGCCTGATGGCGATACCGGAAATCGAGGGCATTGATTACACCACTAAGGAATACCTAAACTTCGTCCAGCACATTCAAAACACTGTCGAGAGGCTGAATAAGCAGAGTAAGCGATTATGAATCATTTTTGCGTGTATGCATTGGTCATATCCGAGTTGCGCATATTACTATATCGAGTTCTTGAAAACGGGATTCTTTGATTACGCGACTCTTAAATTTTTTTTTATGTTTCTACACATACATATATGTAGAGTTTTTAATTTTAAAATATTTAAAATACTCGGGGTTGCAACGAAAGATATAAAATATAACATCTTTGAATATTATGAAAGATTTTCTTTGTTTTTTAGCGTCAAATGGTAAGACATGGAGCCCACATCGAGTGGAACTGGCGCTGTGGACACACTACGTGGCATCCGAGCTGAAGCCAGAGTTGCTCGATGGCATCCCGGGCTCGACGGAGAATGGCAACTCGCACGGTGCCAGCAATGGTGAGGCAACGGAGCCATCGGATGATAGCAATCAGGAGACGGTAGCGAATGGCAAGGACACAGCACCGCTCGATCCGGCAGCGATCGACGAGAACAGCACGACAACATCTTTCACCGAAGATTCGATGGACAAGCCGGCGACACCGATCACTGCCGGCGATCATGCCGTCGTAGGCGCCAGCGAAGACACAAATGATTCCATCATTACCAACGACAGCAGCAACAACGCGACGCCACGACCTACCGACAGCGAGGACACCGAAGAGGACTCGCAAGATGCGCAGGAGCCGCCCACCAAGAAGAGCAAGAAGTGACCCGATCGGCTCGGTGACGCGACAAGCAACAACGTCAGCACTTTCGTGCCCGCCAGAAGTCTGTCGATCATTGCGGCACCGCGTCGTCGATTCTGAGTCATCAATCCGGATGATGGACCGACGGACGGACGTACGACGGATGGACAGACGAACGGATAGGTAGAATAGAAGATGGATGCACGGACAGACGGACGGACGCGGATGGATGGATGAATTATTCTATTTGCGCGATTGCTTGGACGGAGCATAGCCGCTCGCTTCATCCTCGGCTCTTATTGCGGCAGGGGGAGCGAGAAAAAAAAAGGGAAAGGATTCGTGGGATTCCAGAATATTGTGGAATTAATGTATTTTGAAATCCTCGAATCTTTTATCTCACTCTTTCTCTCCCTCTTCTGGTCTTTTCCGCATCTCGTCCATGATTATGTCTCGTTTTCTTACGGCTCCTCCTGTTCTGGTAAAGATTTTTACCGAGTGACCGACGAATATGCACTCTCGTTGATGCTAAATGTCAGCTGGTGATACAGCTAAATTCTCGTTGTTGTTCGGACAATCTCGTGCATTCGTGTAAATGTCAACAAGAGTTTTGCACCGTCTTTTGATTATGGATCTCCTGTACAAAGTATGTTGGAGCGGACAAGGAAACGTGAAAGTACATATACTCAATGTTGCTTAGAAATAAAAAATTTTCGCGAATATATACCTATAAGAGATAAGCCTTTATATCTCTATTAACGATATTTTGTTGATCTTTTGTAATATTAATTTCTTTGAGATTAATATATACATATCTCGAACTCCCTTGAAATGTCTTATATAATGTAGTTTAAGATCTTTAAATTTCTTTGGAGATTTACTGTGAAACTTTCCAAGTATCTTACGTTTGTTCAAATGCTAAAAAATGAAATGTGAAAATGTGAAAATTAACACAATTAAGATATGCTTAAATTTTCTCTTGCTGATATATGTTTCGAATCATTTACGTTGTTGGATCTTTAAATCCGCCCGAATGCCCTTTTCTTCCACGACTCCTTGATCGCCGCTCTTCAACGCAAACACAACTGCCGTTCTACAAACAAGAAGATGATGCAAAACTATCTTGAAATATACATTTCTCGTCCATTTTCTAATCCACCTTTTCACAGTGTCATGTCCTATAAATAACGAGACTCCTTCGTTCTATTTATTTTCAATCGTCGCAATATTTGAAATTTCCAATCGTGGAACTTATTTGTTGTATATTTTTTTCTTCCTTTTCTTCAAGATAATTCGAATAAATGATTAATTTAAAAAAAAATATAAAGCAGTGTTGCATCTTTACGTGCAAATAATCATAGATTTTACGAATAGAACCTGTAAATTTTGACTTCAATTATGAAATATGCACTTATAATACATATGAGAGTTGAATATAAGAGAAAAAATATAATGAGAATGAATAAAAACTAGATGCAATTTTTTATTTTTTGTCTATTATGAGAACCATCTAAAGCGAGATTCAAGAACGTAAATACAGCTCTACATGAGCGTAAATATCCATTCTAGTAACATAAAACTTTACAAGTCTCCCAATTGAAAAACTAGTTCTTGAATTAAAAAAGATAAAGATTCTTTGAAATAGTTTGCCACAAAGATTGTTTTAAAAATATTAAAACATTCAATTAAATATTTTTGCATCCTTAAAGTGTTCAATATTTCGATTTTTGAAAAGGATCTTCATAGAATCATAGATACTCTTTTCAAGACATAAATCGTTTCTAGTTATTTGATAATCAATGAAGTTTTAGTTTTGCGCGACTTTTGCGATTGAATTAACGTGCGGTGGAGTTCTCGAATTATTCCTTAGGAAGAGATGATCATTGTTACAAAAAAACGAGAGAAGAAAAAAGAAAGAGTGAGAGAAGGAGAGATGTATGTGAATGGAGAGAAGGGGAGAAGAGAGCAAACCACTCCGTGAGCAGTAAAAAAAAAACAAAAGCGAAAATACTGGACATAATGATAATATTAATATTAATAATAATGATAAATAATTATTATAATTATAATTATTATAATACCGAATCATTACCATAATTTATATACCTAATGAGAAAACTGCATGTCAGAGTGATGCATGGAGCAAACCAAATACCTTGTAAGTAAAAAAAAAAAAAAACTTTAGAAGGAAATAAAAGTAATGCTTTCAGTCCAAAAAACAACATCGAGCTCAGTAAAATAGCGTCCGGCCTGCAACACACATATAATTTTATGCGCGTTCTTAGTTTTAAGTATTTTTAAGTATACATAGAATGTATCTACTCGAGAGTTCTTTTGAAGAATATTAATTACTATTACTGAAGAACTTTCGTCTATAATCTTAGATTTCTAAATTTTGTTGTTATGAATTCTTTAATGAACGTTTTAAACTTCCTAAAAATTTCTCTAGCTCTTTAATTCTTAAAGTTTAACTTTTATATCAATAGATCTCTCCTTGCTGCCTTTTTCCTTCATTCCATATGTTGATGATTTATTTGGTAAACTTAAGTCTTTTGAAAATCCTTTTCATTTTACTTTTTCCAAATTTTTATAGAAATCGATTCCTTGAAGCAAGATAACTATAACTTTATTAATCATGTAAAGAAAAATAAAATCTGAATTATCTTCATATTTATGTTTTTGTGATAAAAGAATTTCTTTGTTAGAATTTCGATTCTTTTTTAATTTGCATTTGTAATAGCTTCCAATTAAAAAAACTTTATATATATATTATTTCTCTCATTTTTATAAGAAAATATGAATCATTTTCATAATGATTGTCGGGAAGAAAGTGTCGATCCCTCCTCAAAAGTAATAAGTATGAAAAACGTTACAGGTGAAAAGTTCTGTGACATGGAACTTTTCGAAACGTTGATTTGTCATTCTTTAGCTTCGAGGGAGCGTGACATGGTGGCATTGCGGATACATGCGAGAAGTGAAAGTAAAACATCTCTCGCATCTTTCCTACTTTCTCTCGATGTAGCGTCGTTTTAACTTCTCGCCGTTGTCGTCGTCGTTCGTTGGGAGCGAAGTGAAACCAAAGTTGCGACCGCAAAACCACGTCCGTTTTCGATCGCTACAAGGATGTGTCTTTATTCTTTCCCTTGTAATATTTTACATTTTATATCTTAATTTTTATTATAAATATTGATCATTTAATATTGACAATTATTTTCGACAATAACTTCATGCATAAAAATAACCTTGTGAAGAAGATTAATAATTTCTGTTCTTATGGATCGCGCAGAAATTTTTAAAACAGGATTTTATGCATGCAAAATATAAAATAGTAAAAGTGTGTGTACGTGAAAAAATATTAAAATTTGAGAGATGATTTCTGTTTTTTAAATCTATAACAATTCCAATATATCGCTTGAGAAAAATGAATCTTATAATCGTGATCATTTTTAATATATCGCTTGAAAAAAATGGATCTTACAATCGTGATAATTTTTAATAATGACGGGCACATATATAATCATTTGTTTTCCAATTCGTTAAATAATACATCTTTGATAAAGTAGAAATTTATCATTGATTGAAAATACTACTAAAAATTTATAGATTTTCAGAGTTTTATATTTACTCTTTTTTTTGAAATCTCAAAGTTTTCTTTTTAGATTTAGTCTCTAAAAATATTTTCTCTCAAAACTGTTCTTTTTCATGCTGATATGAGCATTTCTTTAAATCGGTCCTTTAAATCTACTGTTTATTTATAATAAGCTATATTTAAAGAACATAGAAAAATTGAACCAAGTTATACATAAAATTCAAAAAAGTTAGAAAACAAAATATAATAAAAGAGAATTAAAATGAATCAATAGAAATGACAAACTAAACAAACGTCGTAAAGTTATATATATCATTGACCTTCGTCAAAGTAATAATGACACTTGTTGACTCATATCGATACGGCAATTTTGTTTAGTCACTTGTGGTCGCATGTATACCATTAAATAAGAGAGATACTTTCTCTTTAGGATAAAAGTCATTATTGCTTGCCCACGCAGTCCTCTCTCTACACTAGCTGGTATAAAACACTCTAATACACGTTCGCGTGGTAGAATCAGACTTAAAGCAGAAAGAACAAGAGAAATATAATTTAATCTTAGATTTCTTTGTTAACCAGTATAGTTTGTATCGGATTAAGACTGACTCAGTGTGAAAGCAGATAGTTATGAATCTTGATAAATATTTGCAATCATACACGAAGAGTTCAGATCAAGAGTGAAAATAAATTTTTGCAAGATAAAGAATAAAATTTCCAATAGACTTAATTTCCTTTTTATAAAAGTAATTTTGTATTCTTTATAAAATAAAATAATGAAAAAAAAAACAATTATGAAATCCGAATTATAAGATTGAAATTATATTAATTTAAATTATCCAAACTCTTCATAAAATATTCCAGATTATACTTTATCCATCCTTAAACTTATAGATTGTATTTATTGTATTAATCAATTTGTCTTTTAGACTCGCATTTATTAAGTGTCTAAAACAAATATTCTGAATAATCGCATTTAGATAGATATGATCAAACGGGAAAATATATGCAATATTTAAATATTTATATTTCACAAAGGTTCTGTTTTGGACGCAAAATTGAGACCCTGATCGAATAGAGAAACAGAAGATAAGAACATTTATTAAGTTCATTATTTATGGTCCATTGTTAATTCTGACTATACGCGTTTTGAGACTATGCGATTTACATGCGCGCGTTCCTCCAGGGTCCGGTTTTTCAGCCGGTGCTGAAATCGTTGAAACCGGTTTGCAACGAAGCGCGAACGAAGAGCAAAGCGAGAACTCTGTAAGAACTCGCGCTGGACTCTTGACGGTACCCTTGTCGAAGAAAAAAACTCATTCCGATTTCGCAACGACGTCATCCAGCTTCTTAACGCGATTTGCAAAATTCGTTTCTGCTGATTAAAAAATTCCAAGATTAATACAAAGATTCGCGAACATATAATATACTGAATCAGCCAAGAATTTAACAATAAGAATTTGAAAAGCATGCAAGGAAGTCCGGAGACAGTGAAATTCAAGAGTAGAAATATAGGTGCGTTTCATATAACTCGTAACTTTAACTTTAATGAGAGACTCTCACATGTTTGCACTTACTTTTTTCCTTGGAGAAGTATTAATAGGAATTATGAATTGTAGAAAAGAATTTTTTACAAATCAAAACTCAAAAATATGAATAGAAAAAAGATCAAATTATGAAAATTTTTTAATAAAATTATAATTTCTAATTTAATTATTATATAAAGATATATAATGTATTGAAAATAGTAGTTTAATTGCAATTGATCTTGTTTAAGAGTAGAGCTAAGAAAATACTTAGAGAATCTTTTATTAAATTTATATATATATAGGACTGCGAATTGGTCAAAAAATCTATCATTAAACGATAACGCGATAAAAACGGAGCGCCTTATATAAACTTCTATACTGACCTATCTTAAGCAATACGGAGAATCTTGGACAAAAAAAAGATACGCTCACAGATATAAAATTCGAGGCGAATTAACTTTTGATAAAAATCACGTGATATCACAATATAAACATCCTATGCAGAAAAGACAAAAAACAGAGAGAGAAATTTCTCTCACATTTCCTTATCTATATACGTTCAATCCGCTCCTTCTGACCTCAGTCACAGATTCTAAACGAAGGTACAGCACCATCGAAGAAAGGACACCGGGAGAACCAGGCCAGGAGAGAGACAGAGTGCGGGTAGGGGGAGGAGGGGGCCGAGAGAGCGGGTGCAATGCATCGCGGTCACTCCAGTGACCTAGTAATGTCCGCCGCGACCTTAGTTGCGACGTGTTCACCCGTTTAAACCACCCTTCGTCCCCCTCTTTTCCTCGGCCTCTGTTTCCCCTCGCCATCATCATCCTCCTACTCCCCCTCTCGCTCCCTTTCTCCTATCCGCACCACACGTGACACCAGTGCGGCGCGAGGGGGCAAAGGGGGTCAGGCGAGGGATATTCTCGCAAGGTGCGGAAAGGGGGAACCAAGAGAGAGAGAAAGAGAATGAGAGAACAAGGAGGGCGAGCAGGGAGAGGATGATATATACAAAACACAAGGTCGCAAGAGAAGTGCGATTGTGTGGACAACCGTCGGTGAAGACGCGATGACGTAATACTCGGCGACGATGCGAACACGTGATTCGCACGGTGATAGCGTTATCATGGTGTTGACCATATGATACTGCCTCTATATTCATCGGCGTCTTTCATCATATCTCTGTATCGTTTAAGTTTAAAATCTGTGAAAAAAATCAGAAATCAGATGAATGAAATAGAACTTGTACAAATCGGTCGATTGACCGAGATAGATTTATGATGATACTCTAAATTAGGTGGCATTTATTTAGGAGAAAAGAAAACACATATTTATATCGTAGAAATAGAGAAAACAAAGTTTCATAAGATGTAGAATGTGTGATCATAATGCCAAGAATTTTGCCAAACTCCCAGGGATATAATAATTTATATATAATTTATACATGACAATTATTGTATATAAATTATTTATATAATTTATATATAAATTGTCAGATATGATAATTTATATATATGATATTAAAATGTATTACATATATTTAAATATAAAAAAATCAGAAATCTATATCGGTTTATAAATCGGTATATAAATAGGTTCAACTTGAAATTATTCATATTTATTTGTATACATTTCCGGAAAAAATTTAGATTTTTTGTGAATTGATATTTTACTCGAGAAATGTGAAAATTCGTCACATTTTAAACCATGTACAGAATTTCATATATACATATATCAATGTTGAAAATGTTGTCAAATTCTATAAAACGATGTTTTAAAAATTAGTGCTACGTAATAAATTCGTAATAATTTTGAAGCTGTATTTGATATTTGAGAAATTTCGAAACACCCGGTGCAAAGTAGAAATCTAATCGTTCCGACGTCGAGCGGATACTCTCTTACCTGGCGATATGCCATGCTCGGAAAATCCCTGAAGGTGAAAACGGAGCAGAGATAGAAGAGCTGGGGACTAAGGACGGAAAAGGGATGGAGCACGGAACATAATCTCCCAGCGGTATTCCCGGACCCTCGACCGGGCGAAAGCTCATTAGAAGTCGCCCTTTGAAAATCGTCCTGCTACAAAGCAGCTGCCCTACGGTGCAGTAACGGA